GCTGGACCCCCGTCGCCTTCTTGAGGCGTCCAGCGACGCTACGCGCCTCGGCAGTTCGGACCGGGAGGACGGTGAGATCGGGACGGTTGTGGTGGATGTTGCGACAGCAGACTCGGCGACTGGAACAACTATGTCACATAGAGTATCATAGAGTCACATAACATGTCCAACATGATTATATAATCAAAAAGTTTTTCTTTTTGACGTGGAAGCTGGTTCACTTGACTGAAGCTTCGCCCACTTTGTTTCTTTCTTGGAAGGCCTTTCTTCCGCAACCTGTTGGCCACAATAATCCATCAAAATCTTGTCTCTCTCTCTCTCTCTCTTTGTCTCTCTTCAACTTCCGCACAAACTCCTTGCACACAATTTCTGAAGGTCGGAAGGTAGCACCGCCTGACTGCTCTCATGTGCAGCGGTCGCACAATGCCCACACCTCCAATCGAAAGCACGGAAAAGCGGAGACATGTCTCAGGATCAACAACCAGATCAACCCTCCCACACCTCATTCTACACATTTGGCAAGCAGTACAGCAATACGGACTACACCACACCAATCAAACAACTTCATGTTTGAACGTTGTCGAAAAAGGACAGCTCGCATGGGCCCGGGGCAGCGCGTCCCGCTGCGGACTCCAAGAAACGACACCACCGCTTTTGCAAAGGGACCCTCCGCCCACTTCCTCACGTCCTAGGACCACATGCGAGCAATTCGTTTAATTGGGCACCAGCTGCACGAGATGGTTCTAGGGTCCAACGTTCCCAGGAGAAGTTCGAGCGTGCAATCCAAGATCATCCACTGAATCAGACATCGAGTGTTCTGAAAGCTATCTATTGTATTCTAATACTTTAATTGATGCAGGCTCAGGACTCTATTTGATGCAGGCTCAGGCCCACCTCATTCTGCGCACATGTCATGCTATGTCAAACTCAAAATCATTGGTTGTTAACCTCTTACCGCGCTGAACTAAATGTGCACTGTCATCGATTGAGATGCTCGGAACATCGTATGACACATGTCAGAGAACATCAGAGAACGTTCTCAGATACAATAGTCGGACACTACAAGACTGGCAACACGAGTCGGCCAGACATGTCGTTTTCGCTTTCAAGCTTCACCAGCGATCGTACCCACCTCATCCGGGATCACACCTGCATCATCCGGAATCACTGGACTTCACCGGAGAAAAACCAACACACAGTGACCAGCCTCACCAGAGAAGAACACCCCACTCCTTCCACCCGCCGAAGTGGAAGAGGATCATGACATATGACGATTGTCCATGAGGGCCTTTGATGAATAAACTCCCAATCATCACCCCCCATATGAAGTGGCTCATAGTGGCTCAGTGTATCCGAATGGGGGGGGGGGTTCGATTGATCAAGTCTACCTTATGGATCACGTGTCTTTGGTTCCATTCCATTCCCACCGCATGGGACGCTCAGGTGGGTCAGCTCCGTCCGGGCCCGAGAGTTCGGTCCATGTGGCTGGGCAGAAGGTCCTCCATCTCTCTCTGCTTCTTTCGGACCAAGGTGTCCACATGTTTCTACCTTTATGGTTGGGCCTTGGGTGGCGCCTTGAAGTTCCATTCGGAAAGAGCTGACAGCTCGCGGGGTCATTGTTGCTGGCTGGCCCTGGGTTGTGGGCCCTCCCACAAAGGCCTTTGAGTAGAACAAGTTGTTTCCAAGTATCTTAGGTCGATGTTTTTCCAGCATTCCCAGCTGGACCATTTCTTTCACAGACTTTTGCTCCCCTAATGCCCATGTTGTTTTCCACTTGCTCCCCAGGTGTTTGGCCACACAAACACTCGCTCCAGCTCCCCTGGGCCGCTCAAAGAAAGGCGACACCGAGCTGGACGAGCGGCTCCGGCGCGCGGAGGAGCGCTATGCCAACAGCGGCAGGACGTTCAACGGGGGGTGGCGGGGAAGTATTTGGCAAACAGCCATTTGTTTCGATGTTTTCCTCAGGTAGAAGCAACATTTGATATGCTGGGTCTCACTCCTGATTAGGACCGCTTTGACTACACACTGGGCATAAAAATAAATGGCTGAATGGGACAACTTGAGAGGATCGCCGTTCAACTGGTGGCCCCAAAGCATTTTCACCGTTCAATTGTGTGTGCTTTGGGAAATCCTCTAGCTGCCTTTGTTTGTATCCACAATTTGTAATTTTCTTGTCATTTGCTTTGCCGTGCTGCCATTGCTGACCAACACGTAAATATTTGTATACTGTAGAGCCTCAGTGTATGACCGGAGTCATAAGTGCCTTCTAATGATAAGACCATATAAGACCCACTTTCTACGGACATGTTTTTATGTGCGCATTGGCAATTCCCAATAAACCCGTGTGGGCGAAGCCTCCACACATTTGATTTGCCCCATTTGATCTGCCTCCCACAGTTGGAGAACGCCCAAACCAATGAATTTAATCTATGGTGCTTTTTGGGGTGTTCAGAGTCGAGCCGGAGGGTGTTGGACATCTGGTGATTTCTTGGATTTGATGCCACAGGTTAATCCAGCTCATTTTGTCGCTTTTGAAAGAAGTCCAAGCCCGTGCGACAGCAAGTGAGTGGTTGTCTTGGTTTCTCTAAAAAGGAGTTAGTGTTGAAATGACGTACGCCATGAAAGATCAACATGGAACCTAATAACTACCGGGTTGTAGAGAAACATCGTTTTTCAAAGGTCCATCTTCAGATTCCATGTTAATCTTCCCGGGTGTATTGCTTTTGGCCCGGATTTTCAAGGCTATCACCTCTCAGTGGACCGGCAAGCCGTGTCAGGAAACTGCTCACCGAAGCAGAGGCCATTGCCCTCCTCCAGGGTGGCAGCAAGCGCCGGAGATGACCGGACCCTCGGTGGGCGGCAAAGGGACTCAGTGCGTTTGGGGGGCGGGAGCAAGGACTCATCAGTTCTATACTGCCTCTACTTTGATCATGTGTGATCGTTTGAGAGTAAGGATGAAGACTACTCCAACACTAAGACTTTCTTAGGAAAGTGTTGTTTTCATGTTTTTGTTTGTTTAATCATTTATATAATCTCTTTCAGTGCCGACTCCTTGCCGTACCTCCCCCACTGCACGCGCATGCCTTCTTGCCGCCTTGCGCCGGGCATGCTGTCTCAAGAGAAGGGGATGGCAGACGGCTGCGAATGCCGATCAAACGCCACGGACGAATAAAGCGAATTGGGAAAGAGATGGCAAAGAACTTTTGATAGGCCCCCCTCAGAGCAGTTCTTGCCAAGTTCCATTGGTTGAACCTGCTGCGCCCATAACGCGCGAGTGATGATGGCGTCCCCTTCCCCTGGGGCAGAGAAAGTAAGTAAGACTTGTGGCTTGCGTTGAGCCTCAGTTGCAGAGCTGTTCGTCGTGCTAAATGCCTGACCCACCAACCCTCGAACCACATTGCGGTCAGAATGAGACTCAACCATTGCCTCAGGAACTCAGTGGTATTTACAAAGCCGGCGTGGAGTTTGTGATGTCTAAAACCACTGGGACTGGGAATCAACCATGGCACACAGCTTTATGACTGGTGGATCCAAAAAGGAGGCAGGTTTTTCCAGCAAGCCATGTGGTATTGCAATGTATTGCAGGGCCCAGTGGCAACTAACACAAGGCACCCACCTACCATGGGCTGATGATACAAGTGATTATGGAGTGTCAAAGTTCATGACCATGGACCGGGACAACTGCAGAAAGGCACACATGCTGCACGTTCCGGCTGTCTCACACGGCTCTCGTGAGGGCTTTCACTTGCCACAGGCGTTTCAGCCACGGCAGATGCACAGGGGAATCATGGGAATCAAGACATGTCTACAGGAAACTTGTTAGACCTCTAGAGGCTTTTTGTTGGGGAAGGGGCATCCATCCTCAATTTCCCTATATATATACCAACAGTTTCTTTTGGTGCTGGGGTTGCAGAGGTGTGGTCTTTTTATGTGGTTGCATGTGCATGAATTTGCCTCGTATCAACCATGTCACCATGCCAAGATGACAGGATTTGCATCTACAGCTGCATTTCTGGCTGGATTTTGCCAATGACATGACATTGACACTTTGCTTTTCTCTTACCAGTGCCATATGAAGATCAGGCCTAAGAACCATAAGCCCACCGCAAACTGGCCTGGCTTTGGCCTTGTGGCAAGCGGAAGCACTCGGGTTTGGATTCACGGGTCTTCGGGGCTGTTCTGTCTTCACAGAGACGTCATCCAACTTCCCAACAAAGAATCATGGGCATGACTCCGGTCTGACTCCAAAACGGAAATCCACCAAAATAGACCATGTGCAAATGAATTTGAAGGATTTCCCATGACCAGAGGGTTCCCGTATGTTCCCGTCACATATGCCATCATCCAACACTCGTCGCGCCCTATCACTAGTGGTTGTTCTCCTTGAGATTCGTGGCCTTGGGTGTGAGAGATGTTGGGCGCGACTGAACAGGGTTGGGATGTTTTTGGAAGATCATTTCCTCCGCCACTGAATGGCCCGGTTTGGAAGATCAGTCCCTGCAGGAATCAAAGCAGACAAAACCACTGGCTGACACAGCTGCATCAAGGACTCACTATACTCTACTCTACAGGTCCAATTTGACAATTCAATCCTTTGTGGGGAGTTTGCAACGGTTCGGTCCAGAGGTATGTAAAAAGATTAGAAAGGCCCTGAGGGTAACTTTGCTAAGTGTATGTTGGGACAAGCGCAAGACAGCGAAAGGATGCAAAAGTATACGGGGTACTTTGTACTTATTGTGCTCTTATTCTGCTTCGGTGAGCTTTCTTGATGAAGATGGGTTCCGAAGTTAGAGCTAACAGACTCGACCGTTGGCGATAGAAAATCAATGACGGGAGTGGGGTGGGCGGAAGTAGCTTGGATCCAAAGGGGTGCAGGTTGGCAAGGAGACCGGTCAGGTTGGCCTTCCAAAACCCGTGCGGTCAGGGTGGCCTTTGCAGACCTCATCCCCATCCCACGGTACTTCGCAGACCCACGCCGCCACGCTTGGTCGCTTCGCCAGTGCTACGACGTCGTGCGGCACAACTTCGGGGCGAGCGACCAGGCACACCGGCACCAACGTTTGAGCCGACGATGTTGAAGCTCTTAGTGAGTCAAGGGATTTGAAACCGGGTCTGGGGTTCTGAAAATACATTTGAACTCTCCTCCTTGGGTTAGGTCAGGGTGTTTCTGTTTTGACCCACGGCCACTTTCAGCATTGCCAACAACGGCTGGGACCTTTTAAGAAGACAATTGTTTCTTACTCAATATGTAGAACCATATGCCACCACCAGATTAGGGTGATTGGGGCGATGGTTGAGTGTTCACAATGAACATACTTGCACTATCTTTGCACTTTGCACAGGTGGAGTTGGCAGTGTTGTTAGGTTTGCAATGTGTGGCAGCAGTATAGTCACAGGTGAAGGCATAATGAAGGCACAATGAAGGGTTTATCACAAAGGGGAGCCAGGTCTTTTCATTGCAACTAAGTTGCAGACTGACAACTTACCTTCTTTGGCAGTCTCGCAGTGATAGATGATGGAACAGGGGAATTCAGGTCCATTCTGGGAATAGGGGCAGTTTTCAGACGCATTTTCGGACTCATTTCATGTAATGACAATGTAATGCACTTTAAATCTAAACATATATCTCTATATGTATATGTATACACACACACATATATATATATATATATATTTTTTCTTGGGGGGGGTTATTTTTTTAAAGCATGCCACACGCATGCATTTAAGCTGCATCCGAAAATGCACCCTGCCCTTGGAAAAGGGATTCTTTTGCGGTCAACCGTCGACCAGTCGCTCTTGAAGAGCACGAAAAAACGAGCTCGGATCCTTGCTCAGGGTGTAAGGAACCCAAACTCAAGCAGCAAGGTTGACCTAAAGTGAAATCAAGATGTTGAAAGGGGCAAGGAAAAGTGATACAAGATCACCTAGCAAAGGGAACATTGTTACTCAAGAGAGTGCGACGTGCGATCCTAAATGCAATTGCCTTTTGCAAAAAACATGCCAAGCACATCGATAAATATTTTGATGTGTTAACATGTTCACATACTTACTTGTTCTCACAAAATGTACACACCCAAGATCGCCAAAAACGGCACGTGCAGTCATCAACCATTTTTGGGTGATCGAGTGTCACTTGTATATAATTGGAAAACAACGTTCCCTTCCACGCCTTTTGATCTTCCAAAGTGACTTCCTACTGCAGAGTCCTGCTGAACTTTGAGAGCTTTCTGAGGGTGCGAGGTTCAACATGCTGTCAACATAAGACTGGAACCTGGGGTTGCTATTCGGTAACTGTTGCCTCATGGTGTTGAACCTCCCAGAAAGATCTAGCAATCTTTGAGGCACACTTTTGAGCGCAGGATTTGCTTTGTCCATCTTTTTCTAGAGAAGACCGAACGTGACTCATGAGAGAGAAAGGAATGAAGGATGGTAGAAATGAAGGATGAAATTGAAGGAAACTTGAAGCAATGAGGGATCGCAGCATGTTTGTGTTTTTTGTTTTTGGACCTTTTTGGACCCCCAAAGGCCCCAAAAAGAACTGGCGCCAGGACTTGGATCGTTTGTACAGACTGCTCAGTTGCAGGCTGGGGAGGGGATGCTTGTTGCAGCTGCTTGCATTAAGTGACAAGCCTTGTTGCTGTATGGCCTTCCTTGCATGCGTGGCGTTTAACAATCAAGTGACTGTGAGTCCTCCTAGATCTCAAGCCGTGCAGTTGGAATGCTTGAACAGTACGGCGAGAAAGGACGAGGACGGATGTATTGGAACTTCAACCCTTTGGCGTTTGGGCGCCGCGACTCGCAGGGAAGAGGGAGGTCAGGTCCACGTCATGGCCCACGAGCTGAGACGAGCGTTGGGAGCCCGGTTGGAACGAACCTGTGGGGCGGTGAACGTGGCGGTTTGAGAACCGAAACGGTGTGTTTTCTGCTGAGGGACCGTGAATGGGACGGGCGATTCTGTTCGGTTTGGCACCTGCAGCGATCCGAGACTGCTGGGGAGAACTCGGAAGGGAAGGTGCCGTACGACCTTACTGCGCCAAGGCAGCTGTTGCCCCATGAGGCCATCGCGCAGTTCGCCAAAGAGTGGCTTGGCGCGACCGGGAGAGACCGGGAGACCTTCGACGTGGTCCGTGGTATCCTTCGACGTGGTCTCGTTGGGTGTTGAAGGGTTTTTTAGGTGCGAAAAGGTCACGACCATCCTTTACTTACAAGCGTAACTTGGGAGGTCCATCTATTTCTATGTGTAACTTGGGATGTTTCAGGCCCGTTCCTATCTACATAGTATAACAAATAGTGTATTCATTGCTTCATTTGTTTGTTCTTTGGCCATTGTGGACTGAACACTTGGCTGGTCATCTACAATTCATCATGTTCTACTAGGTTTGTGCGATCCTTGGGCATTTGGACTACTCCCGCAACTGCCTGTTTTGCCCGGAGAGGGCCAACCCACTGTCTCCCAGGCCCAGGCCAACAATATTACCAGCTCTGACCAGCTTACTCACTCCATCTCCACCCCTGTGTCGCTTTGTGCCACGCGACCAAGGAGACATCCAAAGGAGCTCGGAAACCCAAGTGTTTTGAAAGAGTTTCCAAGAACATGTGAGGCGAGTTGTTCTGGAGTTTTGGAGATTTTTTTCGAGAACATGAGGCAAGTTGGGAGGCTGGTTCTGTATATATAGTTCTGTCAGGTTTTATGGTCAAAGCCCCCCGTTTGAGTAGCAGGACATGACATTTGTAAGTGCAACTTGGCTGTCCCACCATGTGGGTGAGGGGCGGCTCCAGAACGCGCATCAAGTGACCCGGTTGCCTATTATGTCCAACATGGGCTTTATTTATGATTATCTAATCTATTAATATATAGTTCTATGATGTTCTTCGTGTATAGCACACACACATATATATATATTTATACCTACTATTTGTACACATAGGTATGTGTACTATGTACAGTAAAGATAGTAAAAGGTCAAATGAGCTGTGATTGTCATGTGTTCCAAACCTGTGGGTCCTCAAAGCATTCGCAGTCCAGCCTGTGTGTGATAGAAATGGAGTAGTGGATAAACAACAGGATGATAAGAGTACTCTTGAACCACCAATGGCATGCACTCCGCACTCGTTCCTTGTACTGCATTCTCATGATTATGGATGCATTGTTCAAGAGCCAGTTTGCTGCTGAGGGTCTTTTTCGACTACGAGGCGGGCGGATTGTTATTTTGTTCTCACTTTTAGCTCCAGGACTTCTTTGACTGCGATGTCTCACTAGCAGCTAGCAGCTGACACCTTGGGAGCATGGCGTTGAAGAAGGTGTTCAGCCCCAAGAAGCCCCAAAGCCTCTCCAAGAGCAGGGTCTCAACTGCTGCCCTGTTAAACCAGCCCAGAAACCTCTTCTATCCAGCACCTGGCGCATGAGTGAGGACTTCAAGTCCATTGTTTGGCCAAAGCTGAAAGAACGATGGGTTTGGGGCCCAACAACCGCTCGGGCCGGGACTTGCCACAGAGGCACGTTTGCACGGTGGCAGTGCAGTGACGTTTGGGGTATGGAAGACTGGCTATGGAATGGTATGGATCGTTCTTCCAGAAAAAATCATGTTTGCCATGGTTTAGCTGCCGATTCATGTTAAACCTGGTGCCGCTTATGATTTGCCTGTAGCTTGGACCTCCAAATCCTTTTGCTTAAGCAGCTAGCCTTCTAGGAAAAGGTGAAGCGGCAGAGTTGGTTTCTCAAGCTCAAGCCTTGCAGCAGTCTTTGGAGGCGCGACCTGACCATGTACCTTCCTCGATCGGTCGCGCGACGGACCTGTGCGACTGAGGTGTCCTCAGAGACCATCCGGAAGCAGAAGACCCTGGCAGAGGTCGGGCAGGGCATGCGACTTTCTCCGCTTTCATGATAACATGTTGCGTACTCCAGGCCAGCCAAGCCAGCTGCTGGGCTTTCTGATGCTTTACCTTCTTTGGTACTGTTCTCCACCCTTGGAAGTCTGTTCGACAGCAGGTCTAGATACCGTCATGGTGATGGAACAGGGACCCCTGGTGTGTGACGGTGTGTGGGCCAATCTGCTGAAAAGGTCGTTTTGCTGTAAGTCATGGCATGGCACATAGTTGAGCAGTTATTTGATCATTTGTACATTGCAGCAGCTGGTGAGTACAGCCTTCCTGCGCAGGAAAAACACCCTTTGCAGGGCCGGGGTGCTTGGATGGCTGCAGCTGTAAAGGGGTTGCCGTGATCGCGAGAGCAAGGTTTTGCATGCTACAGTGTTTTGACTTTATTGTTGCAATTGGATGGGTGCCCAATCCTATCAATGTTCAAGGACCTAGGAGTTTCTCGTGCCACAGGCTTTGAATGGATGTGATATGTTTGACAAATGTGTGGTCAGAAGTCAGACAAAGATGTTCCGAGCTGACCATCATGGTGACCAATGATCAGCTGGGTTAGATCCGTTGCTTGGCGCAAAGAGCCTTGATACAGCTTTGAGCAATGTAAGTTAAATATTCTCAGTCTAAAGCAACATTCATATGCGGACATTTGCGTAAACAGAGCGTTCACGTCCTTTTTGTTGACAAGTGCCTTCATGTCAGCAGACTGATCCGTCACTGAGTCCGAATACGGCAGAATGACTCTGACCATGCAGGCGCATAGCAGGGCTATAATTTGGCGCGAATGAAGCAGAGCCACGAGAAGCGCGTGTTTGGTGGTCAAGATCTCCGATGTATGGGCTTAAGACCTCACACTGTAATCCGGAAGACTTGGGACGACATCCAATTGCGTTTCACTCATGCCATAGTAGACATCTATTGAACAAGCACAGTTGAACCATTATCGCATGGCAGCACTTGGGCGAATTTCTGAAGGTCTATTCGATGGACACCCGCTGCTTCTTCAATCCACGTTTGAAACCAACCAGCGAATGCCCTACATCGCCATTGACTTGGGTCTGTCCTATCACCCGTAACAGAATCTAATTATTGCAATTATCACGACTTTACAGAAAGGCGTTTACTAAGCATCACCCTTGTTACTGGTATATAATAGAATAGGATAGACCCAAGAATCAATGATGGTTTCCGCTCATAGCCGAAGCGTTTAACTCCGTTGCAGTAAATGCTTGAATCCTTGGTGCCCTTCAGTCAGTTATAGTGAGTTTGGCACGAAAAGCATGGAAGCTGAACATGGCCCCGCTACAAAAGGCCGTCTCATCAGACACTGATTTTTCGAAACATTTTGCTTAATGAACAGGGAGATGGGAGTTCTGTTTGCCCACCCGGTAACCAAAAATGCTGAGTTGCGCCAGTCACCATCAGTCACCTACTTTTGTTCGATATCTCACCAACGAGTCCATTTGTCCGGACGGTGCTTCAGCTTCATATGGCACTCCCAAACTCGGCCGCTGGATGGGACGAACAGGTGGTTCTTCATTCCTTCGACTTGCAGTTGCAAGTCGGCATCGCAGGTTGAGCGAACCCCGAAGCCACACTTGGCGTGGGCCCGCAGCCGTGATGGGTCTTGGGTGTCCAAGTGCAGACTGTTCTTGGGTGCTTGCCGATTACTTGCGACTTGCTGGATTCAAAGCGATAGCGATGAATGGACAAGGAGACCCCTAGAGTATTTTGTAGAAGATTGACTTTGGTGAAGTTTGGACATATGTCACAGCTTCCCTGCGCAGTTTGGGGTTGTTGTCGGATCCTTATCTTGTCACTATAATTGAGTTCTTGAGGGGTGTGTAACAGCAACCATCCTGACATTTGAGGAGACAGGTGGCAGGTGCGCTCCTGACGACCCACATCAGAAACCGGGTGTGGCGGGTGGGTCAAATCCTCTAAAACCTGGGTGCGGGTTGACATCCTTCCGTACGTCCATGTATGGTTCGTGGGTGGAATCCCAAAAGCTTGGACTGAAGTTGAGTGGCGGAGCTGGTGTATCGGCTCAGATGTGAAGAAAGGCCACAGAGTTGTGCCGAAAACAGGTGGAGTTTCATGAACATGGTTTCCAAACAGATCTTGATCTACATCATTTAACATTCACTGGGTTAGAGGCATTCGAACCCGGTTCGGCACGAACCTGGCCCAACGACTGAATAGTACATACGCAGACGCAAGAGCAAAAACAAGGATCAAAACCAGCTTATATACTGAAAGTTGCCTCACAATGAACGACCAGCCTACATGGCTGGCCGCTCCTCTCCATGGATGACGAGATCACAAGCGACACTCAGGTGGGAAAAAACAGGGACATCAAACGTGACAAAGCTGATAGTAACAAGGACGCTACTAGGTGGAGGCCATTGCTATTAGGTTGGAGGCCATCGCTACTAGTAACAAAAGCTGGCACCTCCGGACTCCAGATTCCCTAAGCCAGGAGCTCCAAAGATGGATTCTCACCCAACGGGCCCAACGGGAGCATGTCGCTACTTTCCCGGAATCGAATCATCAAGCCTTGTTATCCGGCTGATCAACATCAAGGCTGCCGTTGCATCGTATAAAGTTAAAATACAATCATTTATATCATCACATATAATCATTGTTAAATAACACTAAAATACATAGGGTGTGGAATTATATTAATGATTATAATGCAAAATGTAAAGCATACAATAGTAAATATTATTACTACACTATATATACTCTCTCTCTCTATAAGTATATACACTGTACACCACTGGAAAGAAGGAAGAAGCTTTATCAAATCTTATGCCCGACATTGGGTGGGCGAGGAGGCGATTCCGGGCTGGTGAATCCTTTTTGGCAGGTGAATCCGGGTTGTTTTCCGGAGATCTATTTTCTGGAGGTGTGTGGATGACCGGTGGTGTTCCGTCAATAGTTCGGCGAACACCCCCGGCTCAGAGCATTTGGGCTAGGAGCTGGACACAGGATGGAACCATCTCGTCATTTATGGAATGGAACCTGCTTCGCTCTCCCATGGCTCTCAGCCCATGGCTCTCAGCAGCTCTCTTTCTTGGCGCCGTCGGCCGAGGCGCCCAAGAGCCGCTTCAGGCAGGAGGTGCCGCCCGACCTGCGACGAGTGCTCACCCGGAAGGCGGTGCCGGGCCGTGTACGAAGTGCTTGAAGAGGTTCAGAGAGTTCCACGAGTTCAAGATATTTTCAGGAGAATCATGGAGAATTGTTTGCAGCACGTCGGGCACCGTGTGTTTTAAACCACACACTTACCGTATCTATCTTATCTTTTCAGCCAAGTGGTCGGCTGTGCTCCAAAAGCCACAAACGACATACAATCATAATCATCACCGAATCATCACCAAATATGAATCTAATCATTTTGGATCATTTTGGGTCCCTCATGGGGGCTTCATTCGTAAAGGGGGGCTGGGTTAGACTTGGATGGCAGACCGCGGGCTTTGTTCCGATTTCACCGGACCCAGTGAAGGCGGCTGACCTGTTGTGTCTGGGCATGCCATGCAGGTCCCACTCGTCAGATTGTTCGCACATGCTAGGCTGCATTGCAGGACATTTATTGTTGCCGTAGGGTTTGCATCTATCGACTAGTTACCAAGCTGTGTAGTACATCATGGATAGAACGATATACAGCAATAGATTCTAGATTTTAATAGATTTTAGCGTGAATTCTTTGAAACGTAACATCTACGCTGTTATTTGTCCTGCTTTCTTATCCTCCCACCCATTTCTTTCCATCATCCAAGCTCTCTCAGCCAGGCTCCCATCTTGAACTTCCTGCATGTCTCCTTCGCACGACCTCTCTTCTACACCTCCAGGTGGGCTCCGCGAGTGCCCACTGGCGGTATTGCAGGGAACAATAGCGGAACTATGTGACATAAAGCAAGCAGAGAGTTCTCCGTGAAGGGATTCGTTCTGCGGATGTCATACGTCACGGTCGGCGTTCTTTTGACATGACATAAAGCGCATAAAGTCTCACACAGTCATGATTGATGCCATACCATACGCCTTCAATCAATTCTTCCACCCTCCCTGCTACACGAGCATTCGAAGTTCCAAAAGGTGTTCCCAAAGGTCAAAGACATTTCAGTTTCCTGATGTTTCCACTATGAGCGAGTTGGCTTAGGTCAATGCTAGGTTGGTGGGGGGTCATGGCCAACTGCCGTAGAGGAAAGCAGTGTTGAACGCCCCAAAAGCCATTGGCTTGAGAGCTACAACTTCGTGGGACCTGTGTGAGCAAGCGCGATTGGACTGGATCACATGCCAGGAGGATACGAAAGATCATCTCTTCTCATGTCAGCATTCGGGTGCACTTGGCAGCCTGGCAGGATTAAGGGCTGGAAAAACATGTGGAGGCTGTGGGCAAAAACCAATGGATAAGCAAAGCAGTTGTAAAAATAGCAGCAAAAAATGTGCACATGGGCGTCCTGCTCACGGCTCGGAGGTCCCCTTTTTGGCCAAGACATATGTATACTGTATCTCTATATGTTAAACATTATGACACACACACACATATATATATATATATATTCACATATATATATACACTAACACATTGTAACACCTTTAAAGCCTTTTTCAAGCAGCTATGTCAAGGCACAAACTGAACTGGTTGATGAAAATAAAGAACTGAACTGAACTGAACTGGCTGAAGAGAACTGAAGTGGTTCATGCCAAGATTTTCTGCTCATTGTCCCAAGGGTGGCCCATCACATGCCATGGCCCATCAGTGGCACTGCTACACTGTGGGCCTTTTTGGAGGGTACATTGGTAGATGAAAGCACCCCGCTATATTCGGGTATCCTGTCCAAGACTCCTCAGCCAAAACAGATAGAATTACTGATCTACCAAGTTCTACTGCCCCTGACGAAAGGCTCCGGTGAGGGAATGCCAACAACCCGGGCAACACCTCAGCCTCGTAGCCCTCGCAGCCCTACACCACAACGCCGCAGCAGTCCCGCTACCCATCGTAGGCCGTGGCGGTGTCTGAGACGGCCGCCGAGTTGGAGGACGCTCGACGACGGATCCAGCAGTGCCGGGTCCGCGTGCTGCAGGACTGAGTGACATGCTAATTGACTGCCATGACAGAGTTGTTCTATACAGACAGAATCTGCAGGAAAAGTCTATCGGCTCCACCTAAATTGGATGTTTTTTGCTACAGGTGCGTGCAGAATGCGGCGGAATGAGTTGGGGAGGGTCTGGTGGAACAGCCTGTGGAAGCGATGAAATATGATGAAATCATATGATTTTAACACTTGGAGGTTCCTTCTTTGTTTGCAGCCCTAGTGATGGCCAAGCATTTCCATGTTCATGTTTGGCAAGCCTGAGTATTCCACTACTCTTTGCGCAGCCATTTCCTCGCGAGGAGCGGATGACTGGCCCCTTGCCTATCTATTTCCGATGCGCTTCATGCTCCTCGCCTGCCCTAGCCGTGCACTGCTCACTGCTCACCGCGGTCAGGCCCCGGATTCATGCCTGTTGAGAGGTCAAACCGATGCCTGTACGCAGAATCTACCGACCCGCGTACACACATCTAGCTCCGTCCTCAGCTATTTTGCTCTGGTCAGATGAGCATCTTGATGAGTCTGCGCGTATAATCTACTGACCCGCATACGCGCATCTAGCTCCGTCTTCCGCTATTTGTTACCCCATAGGGTGTGCTGCCACTGGCTCAGTGCCATGCCAGCGCAACACGCGAAGGCCCCCAAGCAAGCTCAGGAAGACACTTCCCCAACAAAAATTGATGTGACAAGCAAGTCTCCAGTTGGAGACATATCAGTTGTCACACTGATAAGAACAGATACTACACTTGATCATAGCCAAAACTTGCGGCACTTCCCACAGAGTTGCCACGTCTTACCGGGGGTAGATGTGCCCTGGCACCGTGGCACCGTGGCACGTCCACGACTTCGTGGGCCCTATGACCTCGGTCGACCTCGGTCGCTTCGGTCGGCCCGAAACCAGGGACCGGTTCTGAGGATGCTGAGGACGCTGCGTGCACTCCACAGGTGGCACAATCAGTTGCACAATCATAATATAATCATCATAATCATAAAACAACAATAAATGACACTATTAGACTGTATGTATGGAGTACATGCATGCCCTGAGCCAAAAAGAGCCGGGTCTTGGGACAAACCTCGAGTTGTGGGGGTATGACGAACAAGAAGCTACTAGGGGCTCCTGGCATCGCTGCTAGGAGCAAGGACGCTACTAGGGGCTCCTGGCCTTACTACTAGGAACAAGAAGCTACTAGGGGCTCCGGTACCTCAGGTTGTCCCTGAAGATTTCCTCTTCAAGGCTTTTGAGCGTTCCATTTGCTTTCGCTACGGTGATTATGTTACACTGATGGCATATTTTCATAGTTGTTAATGAATAGGTTCACAAGCATTTTATCCCAATCTTTCCAGAGGCTCTTGAAAATCTTAAGCCAGTTGAACCCTGCATGTTTACCTCTACGATTTTGGACACTTTGGACTTCTTCTCGGTCACAACGAGCTCTCAACAGGCGACGACATCGGACGTAGAGTCGACGACTCAGGTGATTTGCCCCTGCAGCAAGAGACTCTGATGCGGAAGCTTCAAGTCCTTGCACCATTTGTTTGCTGGGAGGAATGCCGAGAGGACGCCCGGCATTTGAAAAAAGGCATCGGCAGTTTCAACATGTTGCCACTTGAAATTCCTTCCGTCGGTTGAAAAGGGTATAGTCTGGGCTCCCTGTCTCGCGGTTCATTGTTTGGGATTGCATGTTTGAAGCCTTTCCCAGGCTTTGGTGCCTTGATTTTCAGACAGGTTGAAAGGCAGGGTTCAAGCCATCATGGGCAGCTTTGGAATTAGCCAATTAGCCTGGTTGCAGCAGCACCTGTTTCTCCCGTGCCCCTGTTTCCCCCACTCGCAGAAACCACCTGTTTCCCCCAGTTTAAAGATTTCCACTGATGTCACTTTTTGTCATGACACCTTTTCACGATCGCAGAGCGCTCTTGAGCTGGTTCAAAAGTCCGTCCTACCGACTTTGGTAGCGGAGCCCCGGCCGTCCGGGGCTCCTGCGTTCGCCATTGGCCGCCTGGCGCCTTCGGCGCCGCCCGGCGCGATCCCGGGCCCGCTGCGCTGCCCGCGCTGCTTCGCTCTCGTCGCCGCCACGACGACGATCCTTTTTTGCTGTCTCACAAATTTGGCCATTTTGGTCCTGTGCATTTGTTCTTCGGCTCCGAGGGCACCTGTGAAAGCAGCCAATTTTGCGCCCGTGAAAGCTCCCGAGTACACGACCCTGGAGGTGATTGACCTGCACTCCATCTTCCTGAATCAGACGCTGACCATTGACATCTCCCTGAATTTGCAGGACTACCCGATTCAGGACACCTTCACGTACCGGGACTTTGCCCGTGATCTGTTCACGATGGCCCAGCCGCTCCTTGGCATACCTTTGGCTGAGTTTCGTCGCGACGTACCACCTGGTTGGTCTCCGAACCTTCCAGACTACAGCTTGAAGTCTTATTTTGACAAACTTCGCCTCTGGTACAGGCTCTACCAAGGCCCTGACGAACAAGTAGGTCCTCTACTTGCGGGACGCCTTCAAGGAAGAGCCCAGAAGATTGCCATGGGTCTCAAACTGGTTCGCCCTGACGGAACCTACGATGTGGGAGACAGTGCTCTTGTTCGGCTGTCCACGGACGAGGTTCGAGACCCCATGGACCCGAATGTCATCTTGCAGCACGCAATCCCAAGTGGAGTTCAAGCTCTCGCGAACGCCCTCCGTGAGACCTTCGGTCAGTCTGACCAGGAGTTGGCCACCCACAGTTTGGAGCAATTCTTCCTCTTCAAAAGAGGCAAACTTTCGATGCACGAATATGCATCAGAATGGGAGCTTCGCTATGAGTCTGCTCAGCGCCACTCAGGCTTGGAGATCAACGACGTCGCCAAGAGCTTCCTATTTTTCCAAAGTTCTGGATTGCCGAACAAGTTCATTGAGGATGTCAAGATCCAGATCCAAGGCGACATGTCTCGTTTTGAGGAAGCCAAGCGCCTGACCTTGCGCCTGAGCAATCGGAGTAACCAGCATGCTCTGTCCCAGGACCTGTATACTGATCAGGCCTCTGAGTTCTTCTCCACTCCATCCTCGTCATGGAACACCATGGACTACGACACCTACTATGACGATTGGTCATGGCAAGATGACCCTTGGCAAGCATATCCAGAAGATCCCTGGACTGGCTATGCAGAGGATGAATGGTGGCAAGAAGACGATTCCTGGTCGCCTACGGCATCAGAGTGGCACACCCCTGAGGAGTATGTCATCCATGACGACCAGCATGAGACAGAGCAAGCCGCCGAAGCCCCTGAGACCTACTATGAGGACGAGGACTACTACCAGCAGAAGAGTGGCTGTCATGTCTGTGGCAGTCGATGGCACCTGGCCGCACAGTGTCCCGTCAGAGACAAAGGAAAAGGCGGCTATGGAGGAGGAAAATCCTCCTGGAGGCCAAAAGGCAAAGGCAAGAGCAAAGGAAAGAAGGGCAAGGGCAAAAGCAAGTCATTCAAGGGCAAAGGCAAGTTCAAAGGTGGCAACAAGGGCTACTTCAACGACATCGACTACAGTGCCCAACGAAGTCAACCTGAACAAGGACTTTCTCTGAGTCCTCCAGCTTCATCGTCTTTTGCCACTGAGGTGAAGCCCATCCATATGACACCACCGAGGACTGGAGAGTTGCTTCCTTGGCAAGAGAAGAAAGTGACCTTTGCTGAAGATCAAGAAGATGAAGAAGCTCCAGCTCCATCTGAGCCAGTTCGCAAGCAACTTGCTTTTGCCACCCATCTTCATGCAAGCTCTGAGGTCTACCACATGGTGAAAGGCGTCAAACGCCGTGGCTTGCTGATTGACCCTGGCGCTGCCGCAGGTTTGGTTGGCAGCGAGACCCTTCGTGACCTCCTAGCCAGCTGCTACCAGGACAAGCAGAAGGCAGTGACATGGTCTGCATCAGATGCCACTATCACCGGCATCTCAGGTCAGCCAGACAAAGCTCTTGGACGAGTTCATCTGAAGCTGCCTTTCAAGAACATGGAAGCCACCTACACCGCCGATGTCATTGGCAAAGAAGGCAGCCGCTGTCCCGCTCTGGTTGGCAACCCTGCTCTATGTGCGATGTACGCCTCTCTGCACTCACGATGGTTCACCAACGATGATGGACTTCTGGTTGCCTGGGACACTTCCAAGAGCGAGCATCCGCAGATGAACCTCTTCCGAGTTCTTCTCACCGACAGTGGTCACTACCTGCTGCCTTTGGATGAAGATGCTGGCATCTGCGATCAGCAACCTGAAGCCTTTCACTTCATCAAGCACCTCTCTGACGTCTCCCATCGTGCATGGCCAGATCATGCATACACCTTCTGGCAGAACGTGACTGCCCAAGGACCGGAACGTCAGTGGAGCACTCATGGGACACAAGTTCGATCCCTTCAAGATGATCACCCGCTGACTAGTCTCATGAGTGAGCAGAACAAGAACCACGACATTGATACCTCATGTTCCACGTCGCCGATCAAGGACCACGACACATCAACATTACCTATCACATCATCCACCTCAGATATCACTTCCACTGGAGGAGTTGAGGCTGCAGACAATCTCTACCAATGTGATGACGCTCATAAGGAGCATAAGTGTGAATGTTGCCAGAGTCACAACACTCCAAGCTCCACGACACCTGAACAGGTCACATCATGTTCCACAACAGCCACCTCATGTTCCACAACACCTGGAGGAGTTGAGGCTGCAGACAAGGACTACCAAGAGAAGAAAGATAGTGTTGTGACATCTCAGTTGATGGCCACAAATCTGAGTGAGCTTCCACTGTACGTTGATGACTCTGTTCCACCTCACCTCTCACAAGAAGATCAGCAGAAGCTCAAGAAGGACTACAAGGCCATGCCAGAGGAATTCTACCGCCACTCCAATCGCAGAGTCGTGACGCCAGACACCTTTCCTGCATGGTTCAAGGAAGCCAAGCGACATGGAGTCAAGTGGCAGATTTGGGAGCTCTTCTCCGGCTCTGGAAGATTTTCTCTCCTGTGCACATTGGCTGGTTTGATGGCTGGTTTTCCTGTCGACTTCCGCTATGGCTGGGACATTGGCAATCCAGCACATCAAGACATGCTTTGGAGCGCCTACACCACCTTCGAGCCTGAAGTGATCTTTGGCTCTCCTCGCTGCAAGTTCTGGAGCATAGCCGCATCGAGACGAGATCGACATCAACTTCTACAAGATCGAGAGAAGGACAGATCGGCTTTAGTGTTCCTTCAACGCCTGTATGCTGAACAGGTGAAGAAGTCTCGAGGCTACCTCCTGGAACAGCCATTGTCTTCAGCTATGTGGGAAGAGGGTGTAATGGCAGAGAACAAGAAGTTCCCTGGCTGGCGAAAACATCGCCGCACAGATCAATGTGCATTTGGAGCAGTTGATGAGCTTCGGAAGCCAGTGTTGAAAGCCACCGGCATTGAGGCGAACTTCAAGCTACGCCTCAGCCTTCGTCGATGCAATGGACACAATGGAATGCCCCATGCACCTCTACAAGGTCAACATCAAGGCAAGAATCGTACTGCTATGGCAGCTGTCTACCCGACTCGCTTCTGCAAGGCCCTCATCCAGGACATCATTCAATGGTTTCAGAAGCGCAACATTCTGCACATGCGCTTGGTCGACTCATGGACCTATCACCAAGTCCTCTACAAGTGCGAGCGTTGCAAGTTTGGCAGAGCTGCAACAGCTGATATGGAGCATTCCTTCATTCCGGGAGAATGTCGCCATGGTCGCATGTTCAAGGAACCTTCAGCAGCTCCTTCGGCTGCCTCAAGTCCCACAGCTGACTTTCAACGAGGCATTCGAGCACATGGAGGTATGAGTCAGGTTGAGATACAAGTTCCTGACTCTATGGAGTTCACCGCTGAAGACAAGCTCTACCTGAAAGGCCTGCTGTGTCAATTGGTGAACGACTCCATGACCATCTTCGACGAAGTCACCGACGGCAACTACTCCCGATGGATTGAAGATCCCATCCTGATGACGATTGTGCGCTCATGCCTTCGCAAGATTCTCTATGTCCACGGAGTGTACATCATCCTGCACCCTTTTGCCAAAGCATTTCCGGAACCAAAACTGCGAGCTGAACTTTGTCCACTGCGACTGATCTGTCGAGGCACCTACAAGTCCTGGACAGTTCATCCACTTGAAGATCTTCGTGAAATGTCACCAGCTCAGCAGAGAGAAGCCATTGAGGAGCCTGACTGGATGATTACTTTCTTTGGCGATGTTCGGGAACCCACTTCGACAAGAAGGTCATCTCCAGCCACACCTGCTCCAGTCACTCCAGCTCCTGGCACTCCAATGCCTGGTACACCAGCACCCTTGATGCCTGTACCTGCAACTCCGATGCCACCTGCTGAAGAGACTTCTCAAGCTTTGGTTCCTGTGGATGATGCACCACTACAGGTGGCTCCATATGAAGGAATTTCAGCTGAAGCTGCCAATGCTCGAGCTATCAAACCTCTCTACAGTGTACGACGAGTTCTGCAGAAGCTTCCTTCAATAGCTGCAAGCGATCCGACTCAGGCCAAACGACTCCTACTTGGACTACACGAGAAGATGTGGCATGCAACGGCTGCTGACTTCACTAGCCTACTTCAACGAGCAGGCATGCCGCAAGCCGTGTTGGATCTGATTGGAGAAGCTGTTGCTTCCTGTGCTGTGTGCCGCCGATACTCAAGGCTTCCAAGCAAGCCAAAGAGCAAGGCTACTCTGGCAGCTCAGTTTAATGATGAAGTTGAGATGGACATCTACTTCCTTTGGGGCAAGGCTTTTGTTCTTTTGATCGACGTGGCCACGCGCTACAAGGTAGCTTTTGAGACCCCAACTCGATCTCTTGATGATCTTCTTCGAGGCATGCTTACTCACTGGATCAGGTACTTTGGACCAATGCGCATGCTCACCTCAGATCAAGAGACGTCGTTGATGGGTCCCGCTGCCGCCATTGAGTTTGAACGTCTGGCCATTTGTCGTAATCCCAAAGGCACCACTCAAGGAGAAGCTGCCAAGCAACACACTGGCACAGGTCTAGCAGAACGACACATTGGTTTGACCAAGCTCACCATGGAGAAGGTCAAGGCAGAGCTCGATAGACAAGGACTCACCATGGAAGATGCGGACATTGCTGCTGAGTCCGCAATGTGTCAGAACCTCCTCATGACCTACGGTGGATATACGCCCTGCATGGCAGTGTTTGGAGTTCTTCCTCGCTCATTCTATGAGTTTGAGTCCACCACTTTGACTGCTGTTGATGGAGCTCGAGAACGTGATCCCTACATCTTCGAGTCTGCAATGAGATTGCGTCAAGTTTCTCTGGCCGCAGTTCAGCAGGCCATTGCCGAAGATAGAGTTGCACGAGCCTCTCACAGCCGACCTCAGAAGGTGGACACCTCCGAGCTGACTCCTGGCACATCCATGGTGGAAATTCACCGAGGAGAAAGTTGGCGAGGCCCTGCAGTGCTGTTGGAAGTCAATGAAAATGAAGGCACCGCAATCGTTCGACATCAAGGAAAGCCATATCTGCTTCCTTTGAGATTCGTCCGCCCTTTTCGTGGTGTGTTCTTCAACATGGACACCACAGCTGGCACTACCTTGCATCAGATGATGGCCATGATTGAAGCAGCTCAGCCCTATAAGCAGCACTTCCTCGGCTACAAGCTGATCCTGCGCCACGACGGAGCACATTGGAAGAATATTCCTTCGACTCCTACGGAAGCACAACAGAAGATTCTGTCAGCATTTGGACAATGGGAAGAATGGGCTCAGCACCCCGTCCACGGAGTTCTCTATGGACAAGCATGCCATACACTTCATCCACTACCACACACTCGTGGAACCATCTTGACATGGTTGAAGGGCACCTCTGACTACATCAAGATCCACAAGGAGGATGACAACTCAATGAAGCTCAAGGATGAGTATGGCCAGCGCTGGGAATCTCTTTGCGTCATGTACATCTTCTACTACCCGACCAGCACTGAGATGGCGCCTGCAGAAACACCTCATGGAGACGAAGTGCAATCAGCTCCTGCTCAAGCACCACCTCATGATCCACAAGCTCCCGTGGAGACAGAGAGAGACATCGACTGTGAACTGCCCATGAAGCGTGGCTCAGCTACCACTGATCCTCCGCTACCAGATCCTGATCCCAAGAAGGCCAAGTTCGATGTCGCTCACAACATCACCACGGAGCTGCAGAACCTTCATACTCTGCAGTGGATGATCGACCGCAAGAGATTCTTCCGCCTGCATAATGAGGCTTTCTGGTCAGAGACCTACTATGTGCCCCGATGGTTCAACAAGATCACCAGAGAGATGGTCACACAGAAGAGCCAAATGCTCCACGAAAAGGCCAAGGAGAGAGGTACCTACTTGGTCCATCTGGCCAGTTCGAAGAAGCGCCACTTTTACCTTGACTTGTCCAACGGTGGCCGCTACATGTCTGTCACCGCAGAGGACACGATCTCAGAGACCGATCTGGCAGAGATTTGGCCATTGGTCGAAGAGGCTGATGGAAAGGAGATGGCGCAATTCGTGGAGGAGAAAGCCTTCGCCAAGATCAAGCTTTCTGACGTTGCTGATGGCACCGTGATCATCGATGGCACCTGGGTCAGACGATGGAAGATGAAGCTTGGCAAGCGAATTGTGAAGTCTCGAATGTGCGCCAGAGGTTGTTTCGACCCTCAAAAGGAACACTTGAGCACGAGGAGCACTACGGCATCTCGTTTGAGTCAACGGATCTTGATGAGCACCGCAGCTTTGATGCAAGTGGATCCTGAATCATGGGATGTTTCTGGTGCTTTCCTCAAGGGACTCTCCTTTGACAAGATCCGCGAGATCCTGCTCTCCCAAGGCATCAAGACACCCACACGATCTGTGGTGTTGATCCCGCCATACAACTGCTGGCGACACCTGGCTGCTGCTGATTCTCAGTTCCACCTGGAACCTGATGAGATTCCACTTTATGGACTACAATGCCTCAAACCAGTGTACGGCCTGAATGACGCACCAGTGGCCTGGCAATTGAGTTTGGGAGTGTTTCTGAAAGAGCAGCACGGTCAAGCTTCTTTGTTGGACGACAGTTTCTACTTCTGGAAGGATCCCAAGAAGAGTCCAACACTACGTGCAGCTCTCACCACTCACGTTGATGACCTTGCAGTCGTTGGTGGTGGCAACTTCATGGACGACCTCTACAAGACAATGTGCAAGAAGTTTGGCAAGATTTCCAAAGAAAAGTTGCCATTTCCTCACTGCGGCTGTCTGTACTCCAAGACTAAGGACGGCTACAAGATCGATCAGACTGAATTCGCCACGAAGCTAAAGCCATCCACGAATCCTCCTGGAGATGATGAGAGAGCACTGACCGCATCTGAAGTCACCGACTTGCGCTCAGTTGTTGGAGGTTTGCTCTGGCTGTGTTCAACACGATTGGACCTGGTGGCCGACGTGGGAGTACTACAATCAGCAGTATCTGCTCCTAAGGTGAAGCATCTTCGAGCTGCAAATCTTCTGGTCAAGAAGGCAAGCAGTCCCGACCGTGTTCAATTGGGCCTGCACTTTCGCTACTTCCATGGAGCATCCAGCTTCCGCCTTCAGTGCATACATGATGCATCCTCTCCAAGCAAGGGACGCTCCTATGCTCAAGAGGGAGTCATGGTCCTGCTCATGCCCGAACTGCCTCAGCACATCCTCAACCAGGACGAGATCACTTGTGATGATGCAACTACATCACAGCTGAACGGCTATGGGCACCTCCTTTTCGCTCATGGAGGAAAAGCTAAGAGAGTGTCATACTCAACCTCACATGCCGAGACATTGTCGGCAGTGAACGGCTTGGAAGCGAGCAGCATGGTCAGTACTCGACTGACTGAACTTTGGATGGACAAAGCCAAGCCGACCTTGAAGGACCTCACTCAGCACCAAGAAGAAGGCTCACGTATGTTTCCAGTGGACTCCGCCACAGACTGCAGAGACTTCTATGAGCTGAGCACCGGATCTCGTGCTGTGCCTCAGGACAAGTTGCAGAGGCTCTACATCGCCGCCATCAAGGAGGCACGAGTCACTGGTCGCCTTCGCTACTTCATGCTCATTCCAACTCAGAGCATGCTGGCTGATGCATTGACCAAGCCAATGATAGCACCACAGATGATGGAGTTTTTGAGCTCAGGACACCTCTTCATGAAGAACGAGCCCAAGCATGTAGTGTTGCTTCGCCGCCTTCCTACACTTGAAGACCTTCGAGAAGAAGATTTATGGAAGAGCGATGACCAGATTGCAAAAGAAGTACATCAAGGATCCAAGATGGCAAAATTGGCCTGCCTGACAAGCTTCAAACTGAAGCCATGGATTGCCACCCTGGCAATGACATCATTGATGATGACCACCGTGTCTGCACAAGGCCAAAATGAACCACCGAGGCCAAATGAAAGCTCCAACGACTGGACATTCCTGATCATGATCTTCGTCACCTATATGGCCCTTCGTTTTGGCGAGTTCCTTGTGACGTCAGGCATTCAAAGCCTTCTGCCTCGAAAGAAAATTGCCAGTCCACCATCTACTCCGCCGAACTGTCCAGCTGGAACACCAAGGACCCTGAATTTAGATGGATCTTCATCGACTTCCTCTACGGCACGACCAAAGCCGAGCTCTATTCCTGCGCCTTCCGCTGCTGTTCCAAAGATGCCTGCACCTGGCAGCCCGATCATCGACTGGTCTGCATCTGGCACGACAGTGTTCAAGCAGCCGCCGCCTGCGCCGCCGACTGAGAGCGCATCTAGCTCTGGCCCTGGCTATGAGCGCGTGTACTTCACCGCTACTGGTGAATGCTTTCATGTGAATCCGCAATGCGGACACTTGAGACATCATAATGTGATGTCAAAACGCAATTGCAAAGACTGCTCCAGGATCCGAAACGCCAGTGGAGTTTAAAGATTTCCACTGATGTCACTTTTTGTCATGACACCTTTTCACGATCGCAGAGCGCTCTTGAGCTGGTTCAAAAGTCCGTCCTACCGACTCCCCCATTCGCAGAAACCACCACACAACTCATAGTCCCAAACCATGAATCTCAAGTCGTCCGATATCTCAGATGAGCTTTACCTGCCGCACGGAGCACATCCCCTCGTTGGACCCTTCTTTGCAACCGACCCTGGTGGCCGTCTACGGCTGTCAGCCCTGGACGCTGGAAGGGCTGAACGAGGCACGGGAAATCCATGAGGCCTCCGGGATGAGGTAAGTATGAATTATAGTAGCGTCTCCCTAGTAGCTTTTTGTTACTAGTAGCGATGGCCTCCAACCTAATAGCAATGGCCTCCATCTAGCAGCGTCCTCGTTGCAAATCGATTCAATAGATATGCTGTATGTAGTGCTGTATGTACAAAATGGTAATTGGTGCACTCTTCCATTCTAATTGAGGATGCTTAAGGTGTTTTCAAGTCGCACAGGCGCCGTGCCAGTTTCCAATGGGAGTCCAGAGTTGGAGTGGACTCTCCCTGTTTATAGCGTTTGGAACTTAGAGCCCTGGACGTTTTGGCCACAAATATCGGCAGGTCACATATATGGAGATCACTCTGTCGCAGTGTCTCAGCATCATGTTCAGTTGGCGCTTGAGGGTCCGGGCTCAGTGCAAGCCTTAGCAGGTTGGGCCTCTTCCTTTTTTGGTTCCGAGCTCCAATCCCAAACCAAGTGGATGACGATGTAGAAGGAACACTATCTTTTGTGGGCGCTCTAGACCTTTCTAACTGTTCGGTGGTGTTCTTGGGATTTAGAGCTTTTGGAGCCCCTTTTATGATCTTTTTTGAGAATGCAGGACTGCACCTGAACAACCCATTGACAATGGCTTCCTTTTCAGTTGCTGCAGCGCGCTGCGTTTGTGGTTTGCGTGAAGGTTACCCTTTGATTGGTATGAAGTTATGACTTTCGTTGCTGGTAGCTGCAGGTTCAACACTTTTCAGGAAGGGAGGCCATGCTATAGCATGTTGTAGCCCTCTCAAAAACCTATCCCAAAACTCGAAAATGCCACAGCTGGCGAACCTCTTCTGTCTGGGGGTGAAACGTTTTGCCAAGGATTTGCAGTTTGCCTGCCAATACATCATTCCCATCAATTACTGCTGTCAAAGTCTTTGCCAGCATCTTGCTTGCATTCAGCTCAGGTGTAGCTCAGCTGAGGTCATTTTGGGTTGGTCTCTCAGCACGCTCGGTGTACAAAACCTCGATTTGTGCAGAGAAGCCCAGGTAGGAGCTCTAGACCTCGTGCTCCGGCACTTTTGCCTCCTCATGCCTCTCATTCTTCTACAAATCTATACCTCCCAGACTCCATGCGACGCCTGGCTTTCTTTCGAGGCGACCCGGCAGCCGCCGCGGATGGTTCGCTCCTGCGGCGCCGCGGCGAAGCGTTCACTCGGGGAGCGGTGGACCACGCAGACCCGGTTGAAAGACCCCGAAGCTTTTAAGATATATAAATGAGGTCAGTCGGTCAGTCAACAAAGGACAGGCATTCTGCGGGATGTTGCTCGTGGCAAGATCGACTCAAAGAAATTCTGCTTCGCCACTGTGCACCTCAAATTGAAGAATATGGAGTCAAGATGTGGTTACTTGGTAGACATCAGTTGTGAACCGCAGGAAGCTGGAAACCCCATGCCAAGTGTTGCACAATCGCGCATTTTCTACAGGTACACACACACATATATATATATATATTTTTTTTTGGAAATATAATATATGTATTATAGAATATAGTATATACAACTGTACCAGGTGCTTCTGTTGTTTTGAAGGGAACTGACCCATGCCATCAAGGCCACACTGCTGTGCTTCGTGCAGAGTCTTTTATTGGTGAAGCCACAGCCGCCAATATCCGAGGATCTCAGGCACTTTCCCCAAGCTTCAGCAGCTGCACTTGCACATGCGTCCCAACCTGCTACCGTCGATGTGCCTCTCGAATTTTGCCCCTTGGAAGGAAACTATGCGGGCCGTGGGCCATTTCGGGGGACATCCCTGTGGGGCGAGGTTCCGGCATTTTCAGTTCCGATGTCCATGACATGTCCTGGCAAAGCTTTGGCCCAGTGATGGCCAGTTAGTTCAGGATTCTGTTGATATGATTCCCCCAACTTGCCGTTGCAGCTGCTGAGGAGAGGCCAACAAACCTTTGCGGGTTTGATCCATTTAAAGTCTAAGTTGCGTTCAATCATGTTCAATCCATTTGCTTGTCCTTTTTTTGCTGGATTTGGAAGGAACATGTTTTGATTCACTCAGACCGCACTGTTTTTGCTTGAGGTGTATAGATCCAAACGCACGCACCTCGCCCACCTTGCTTGAACTAATTAGTTTTGTCAATGCAGCCCTGGTGGCTCCAGCTTCACGACCCGCCATGCATATCAAAGAAATTGGGAGGCACTATGCAAATCACTTGAACCCCTTTGAGATTGAGAAGGCCCCAGCACAATGCAGATGTGGATGAGACTTTGCCAGTAGTTTGGAGGCACGAATTCCTAAAGCGCCTCCTAACCGTACATGTTGAACACTGTTCGACTCCGCCTGGCCATGGGCGTGCCCTCAACGGTTTTCGGTCAGCGGCAGATCCACTACAAGAAGGCGCATCCAGCCGACCCTTTTTTTGCATTTTTCTGCGCAGTGGATGGGCAACTGAAAGACCGTGTGCAGGTTGGACATGGGCTGCAGGCGCCCTTCAATTACCAAGCGTTCGTGTTCCATGTCAATCGTTGAGGGGGTAATGTCATGGATCTTCAATGTTGGACGACATTGGACAATCATTTGCAATGACTTTCCTTTTGCCATTGGGTCCATCATGTCATGAAGAATTGCAACGAGAGACGAGCACGCAGAGAACCCCCATGTACCATGTGGGCCGTGGGTAGAGGCTGTACATGGGTTGAGCCTCGCCAAAGCCATGGACGCCAGGGTCAAGATGCTGTATGAATTGGGGGCTTGCAAACCCGCCAGACCCACCCACAATAGAAGGGCTTGCAAACAAGATGAGGCAGAAGGGTTTAGATAGGCGGTATATGTGGAGAAGCTTGCAATATCCTGGACTGGCGGTAGATCGATCATACGTGATCCGGTCTTCTATGGGGCCTGCTGCTTGTGGTTGAGGAGATTCGGAAGTGGACCAAGCAATTTGTGAAGTTCAGGGAGTTCAACATCAAGCAAGGCTGGAGATGTCCAAGATCCAAAACATGCCCAGTGGTCAGGGGCAGGCGGCCGGGTCCCTTTTCTAATAATTCATATTGGAACGGCAGTGTTTCAATATGCATATGTGCCTCAGGAATATATCTTTTTACCCCTGCGGCAGCACAAGAGGGTTTGCCAAGGGAGGCATGCTGGGGAGCCGTGATGTTTTGGTGGCAACCGGATGCAGTGGGAAGGCAAATGGCCGCAGTTATACTGCATATGCAAACCACTGCAAACCAACGAAATTGACATGTATCTAAATGATTCTAAATGTAGGGACAGTTTCGCGAATTCGGCATATCAAGAAGCCTTGTTATGCTCCTTATTCACTCATCATTAAAGTAGTGATGAGAGATTGAGATACACAACCACCACCCTCAAAATCCTTTACGTCAGTCATCCTTTCCTGTCGTAATCCACAGACGTGTGACCTCCGAGACCGCCGACATGCACGGCCACTTCACTGGCCCAGCCTTCATTTGGACCGCGGGGTGCGCACAGATGGCTGGGACCGAAGTGGCGCCAGTGGCCCAGAGCGGGGGCATCTCAGAGCCTGGGCGCGGCTGCCGGGCTACACTGAGAAGAGCCTCGTTTTCGTTTCGAAAATGGCACATATCACATGGAATGTCACATGGAGTTTCTTGGAATTGTTCAAGAAATCGGGCAAATTTATATAAGTAGGTTCATCCTGTTTTCCCCGGAAAATTGGAAGAGCTAACACATTCTTGTGGATGGCCTTGCCCTCGAGCACTAGAACAAACAGGATGAACATGAGATTGACTCAGTAAAGATTTGGATCCAAGTTGTTCCTCTTACCGACCGATGGTTTGGCAAAGAGAACCGTGCCGAATTCGAATCCACACCACGCCAAGGAGCCGAAAAAGGGACAAGTCTCCTGCTGCCCGAGAGGATCCAGATGCTGAGTGATCCAGACGCACCACCCCGTCCAGAGGATGGATCTGGAGAAGTGAACGGCTGTTCCGCGTTTGAAAGCGGAGTTGCTTGGGGCCGCCCGGGTGCTGCATGAGAGGGCAATGGAATCACCATCCTGCCGGGGAAGACCTGCATTGTTTCTCTGGCCGTTGCAGAGCAGTCGTTGGTTCACAAGCTCGTGGTTTTCTCGAGATTTGCCACACAATCCGGAGCAGCACGCCTCAGCACGCCTCGGTTAAAAAGGAGCAATCATCACCCAAGGGGCCCAACGCACTATGAACCTTGCAGATGTTAGGACGCCACGACGAGTTTTGTGGCTCCCATTGGTTCCTTGCGTTTTTGTGTGAGAGAAGATGGATGTTTGTGTCTGGTCTTTGCAGGCATCCTTGCTGACTTTGACCCATCCATGGAGGGTCATGCATTGGATTTCAGATGGTTTCATCTCCCGACCAATCCCAGGTGGCCAGCGCAGACTTCCGAATCACCTTTGAAGTGCTCCCAGGCACCGAGCGAACGAGGGACAGCAGTGGTAGCAGTGGAACGACATGGAACGACAGGCTGTGAGGAACATGTGAGAGGATACTTTTGGACAAAGCACCGGGAGAGAGGATGTGAGTGAATTTTGCCGAACTGAGGTGAACGAGAAGACGCAAAAAGGAACGGTAACTACTGACCACTGGTCAAATATATTCACCCAGCATTGCATCCTTCTGATCCAAGCCACACCTGACACATCCTGACACCAATCCCTTGATGAGAGCTGTAAAGCGGCCCAAGCGCAGGAACGCCATTAGGTGAGGGTGTGGAGGGCAGCTTCTTTACAGTCTTTTGGCGGCAGAAGTTGCAGGAACGGGTGGGTCCGTTGGCTACCGGCTTACGGGCCTGTATAACATTGATATATATATATATAATTTCAATATAATTAATCATATTAGTCTAACGTTATTACTCTCTTTGTAGGGGTGGGACACATTTTCAAGTGAGTCAGGCTATGTGGCACTTCGCGGCTTCACATCATTTCCGGGTTCGTTCGCATTGACGTCCCCCAGTCACCGTTGTCACCCCGAGGCAGCGAACCTGCTGAAGATGCCCTTCTCCTGCGAAGGCAACGAAGACGTCCAGAAGAGTCATAGAGCATTTGGAACCTGGTCGAATCCATTGACGTATTGCTCATGAGGAATTTGGAACCTCTCTGGAATTCAACCTGGTCCGAGGGCTCAAAGGGTTCATGTGATGAAAGCACCGAATCTTCTTGGGTCAGCTGGGGCTGTTAAAGAGGTACATGTTTTCCGGAGCCGCATGCCACCCGCGCTTGTGTCCAGGAGGCATGTTCCAGCGTCTGCAAAGGTTGCAGATGGACCTGCTTCTGCGAACAGGCCGGCAAATCTACGTGTTTGAGATAGCAACATTTAAAAGATTTACAAGCTCACCAAGTGGCACTGGTAACCTATCACATGAAGTATCGGTAGTGTCGGAAACTGTTCACATTAAGTCACTGAGGCCACAAAGTCTCATCTACAAATGATTCCGAAGGTCAAGGTAGCTCAAAAAGGTCTTTGAAACTTGCCTCCGGTCAGTGTTTGATTCTTCACACCCTCCAGGACCTGGGGTTTCTCAGCAGTTCATCCCGTTCTCAGATAGAGAGAGTACAACCTACCACTTTCTGCCACAGAGCGCTACCATGCTCAACCGATCGCATCCTATAATCCCGCGCCATGCTCCTTTTACCAAAGAGTTCATCCAGGCCGTGGTCTTGTTACTTGCTGCATTCCCACATGCTGGTCGGATCGTATTGCTCTATGTCACTGATTGCCATCACCACCGACCACCAATTGCAGACCATAACTGATTGCAGACCATAACTGTTGAAGAAATCCTGCACAACCCAAAAAAGAGACCAAACCAAGGACGGCCATGTTTGTTCGTCGTCAACGGCAGCGAATCGCCAGCTTCGACGCGAATCGCCTGCAGCCGAACTCGGTCGGGGAAGTCCGAACGCGTCTGGCGGGCCCAGGCCTCCAGCCCTTCGCTGGCGTTTTGCGCGCGGCGCCCTGCCTCAAACGCCTGGGCACCATTTCACTGCCCTTGTTCCGGTTGCTGGAGCCGGCGCGGGAAGTCATGGGGGGTGGGGGTGGGGGATCTGAGATGATGAGACAGGAGACAGATCTGTACAATTCTTTACAGGATCTTTTGGGCTCAGTTTGTTGGGAATAGAATGGGCCACAGATTTGATTTGCTAGAAGTTCTTCTGTGCCAAAATGTTGGAGCCAATCTGGGCGGTCATAACTATAATTATCCATCACCCTACATGAACTATATAAATGGAACGTGCTCAGGAGAACATCTCCGAGAACAAAAAGCAGATAGACCACTCTGGATGAGGCTTTCCTCGACAATCCCAGTGGCTTAAGGTGTCAGTTTGATGAACCAGGTAACCAGAGCTCACAGGTTTTAAGCTTTTGGAGCTGCCAATCTTGATAGAAGTAACGGATGCGAGTGTGGCCTCAGGTGGACGAAGAGAGATGGAAGATCTGTAGATAGACTGGCTAGTAGTAATGTAAAGTGAGATAGACTGCGCTCATACAGATATGGGGCCCATTGCGTTTGATCAACCTTTGGCCTTTTGAGTAAGCACATGGTGCTGCACCATCATCCACTGTCACAGGTGGGGTGTGGGATCCAAATTTCATCACATTTCTAGCCAGACTGGGACTTTGTGGCGGTGCCACGAGCTCCATCACATCCGGCCAGTGGACCATTTTGTCATGCTAGGCCGTGCGAGTTGATGCCAAGGGTTGATGAAACGAGCATCACTCCGCCGCATCACTGCACTAATGAAATGCATAATACATCATAGTACATACCAAGACACAGCGGATGTTACAATGTTCACCTGGATGCCAATGTTCAATCTTCACGCCTCCTTGGAGGCACAGAAGGATGCCTTCAAATTGGAGGAGGTGGTGCTCGCCATGGAGATTGAGGATTGAAACCAAGGGACAGGAGGATGTTTGGCAAGGGTGCCTGCGGGTGCTTCAAGAGGGGCAAGGATACATAGGTAAGGCCTGCCTCTGAAGAAATGGCGTAGCAAATTTAAAGGCATCCAAAGACTATATAGATGTATATAGTATAGTTTGGAATGTTTAGAAGGCCCCAAGGTTCCCAAGGGATCTCTAAAATACCCCCTCGTGGGTCCTGGTTGGAGTTGATAGCTCTGAGATGCCGTTTATGATCTTCAAGCACTCTTGGGGAGAGCTGCCAGTTGTTCGCTTGGGGAGCCGTGTTCGGTAGAAAGACTTGGTTTTGGATGGTTTTGGCACCACCTTTTAAAGGAAGATAATTTCATTCAACTACTAGAGTTCTATGGCTGGGGCAGCCATCCTGTAGCCTTCTTGTGGGTGATCGTCACCCATGGTTAGCCACCATTGGTGTCGCTTTGGGAAGGACTGCTTGAGCCTCTTCAACATGTTGGTGCCGCTGTCTATGACTGGGAACCGATGCACTCTTCGGAGGCTGCTTGCCCGATGGGGAATCAGAGATTGTTGTCACAGTCTACGGTGGGAGAATTCACTGTGCCATCGGGTGAAGCTCCACAAATTTCAACAATGAGGGACTTGGCATGCATCCTTTACAGATGGAACACCGTTTTGTTTCTTGTGGTTGGGTCCCGGAGGACGTAAGGAACACCCTTGGCATGCATCTGAATCTTGTGGGAGTGACTCCCTGAGGCTCTCATTGCACCTTCAGGCTCCGGATGGCTTGCTGCCACCCAAGGAGGTGGGCCGGTGGGTTGGTGGGTTGGTGCTCCGTGACGGAGTCACCAACACAGGGTGCTACAACCGGGTTCGTGGGGGCTTGCGGCTTGCGTGGTGATATTTTTGCCATCAGCATCCATGAGTTTCAGCCTGATCTCCCCCCACAGATGTTTCATGATTGTTGGGGCGCCCAAAACACATCCTACTTGTACTTTTCTGTCCTCCTTCTCTCCTTCCAGTCATCGCGTCCAATGATTCAATTCAATGGCTAGATGTCACCATGACCCAGATGTGGCGAGTGGGCCAACACCAGGATACCTTGCTATACCTACCGGCGTTCTTCGTCGTTCGCTGTAGGGAACCATGGTGAACAGGGGCGGGGGCTACAGGTTTTGACCCTTTCGATCCATGTCGATCCTCGACCTCGCCTCAGGAGGTCGAGGGCTTCCTTTGCTCCGGCTTCTTGTGTTTGTCTGAGTGCCTGGCAGAGCAGAGCTTCATCCACTTCACACAGAGTCAGGAGCAGCTCGTGGAGACCGTCCGGGCTCCACAGAACTGCACATCCTGACGGGAGATTCTCGCTGGTTGGTGGTTGAATATATATATATATACATATAGGTTTTGTTCATGTGTTATATTCCCTCTTCACCTTGCAATAGTGAATCTCAATGACTGATGGTCAGGTGAGTTGAAGCATGTTGAAGCCAATGAAACAAGAGCATTACCGTGGAACATGGACCATACGAAGGAGGATGCGAACGACGGGGCTCCCTTGTTGCATCTACTATCGGGATTATTTTAGGTCCTGACCACAGGTTGAAGGCCTAGCCTCGCCTCCAAATGTTTTCAGGAATTGTTGGGGAGTGGCCCAAGTAGCTGAGCTATTTTGGATCTGGGCAAGGAACATTGAGACACTTCCTAGTTTTGACATAAGCACTTTTCCATCGGAGGCCAAGAACTCAAACAGCAGAAAGAGCTCAAACATGGCCCCTTTAAACCAGTCGCTGAGGATGGTTTGAGCATGTGACATGACCTCTCAGTAAGTATATACCTCAGTAAAACACCCCCGGAATCAGCAGAAACTCCTTGCAATCTCCAAGTTATATCACTTTTGCTGTTTTTCTGTGTGCTCTCTTCTCTGGATGAGACCTCCGCACCTGCCCAACTTGAATCAAAAGCATCTGAAGTCTTACTTAAATAAAGACAAATCATTATCATCAAATTTCATTACATTTCATAAACTCTCCAGAGCCTTGCACATTACCACTTTCCATGAACCCCCATTGACCCTATGCCCGCCATCTCCAACACTCCATCGAGGTCTTCTTCCAGCTGCCCTTTGCGGCCCCGGAGTTCTTCTCGGCGGACTTCGCCAGCTGCGGACCCCAAGGGCCCACCTCGACGCCCCTCAGCAGGCGCCGGGGGCGTCCGGGAGTCCGGGGCGTGCACCCTGGGCCGCCGGTGCGGCGTGAAAAAGGCCACGCACGCTGGGCATAAGTTAGGATAGAGTGACCTCCCAATGCCCGAAGCTAGGAAAGAGGGAGATGAAGCACAAATACTTAGCAAGACATTCCGAAGAGGCAGCTGGCACCAAGAGTCGGCAAAAACATATTTCTAGCACCAGCAAACCATCTACCAGAGCGGTCCTGCTGCATTGGTGGACTTCCTCGAGGCCTTTGCAGCGCATGGATGCGCTCCCTGAGCAGCGGCCCTCCGGCACCCTGATCTCTGGGCGCCTACGGCCCAGCATGGCAGAGTCTTGGATGAACAGCACAATGCGCCGATGAACGCCGGTGGAGATTGGCTGCTGTGAATCTTTTGTGTACAATCACAAGAATGGCATAGCATGGCGCATTTCGGGCCCCGTGTTAGCTTCTGAGAAGATCAGAAGGTCCTTCCATGCAAGACCACCAAGTACTACAGAAGTGTCCATTCAAAAACACAAATGGCTCTAATGATCTCCAGTGTGTTTCCTCGTAGGTCCTCATCACAATGCCCTCTCCGGATGCACAATCCCCTCCCCTAGAAGGTGCAGAGTCCAGAAGATCTAACAGCTTTTGGAGAGGCCTGCCGGCAGCCTGCCGGGATAATGATGTAAGATGATGTAAGAACAGGCAGGTCAAAGAAGGAAACACCAATATATCAATCTCATCAGTTTTGGGAGACACATTTGCTGAAAGGAGCCCACAGAAAAAGATGGAAAGAATGAAGGAACAAGACGAAAAGGAAAGGGAACAGTGAAAGAAAAAGCCAGGGGAGAAGGGACAAGTCAATGAGGGGATGCCGAGGCTCGGTGTAACAACATGAGTGAAAGATAGTGAAAGTGAACTGTTCAGGGGGACATTTTGGCTGGTTACAATTAACTCTCTTTGCTGTTGCCCACCAGCTCTCGTGGAATTGGCTCGGTGGGGGGTTGTAAATCCCAAGGTTCAGGCCCGATTCGTACCTGCCCCGAAGAAGGTCAGGGACTGGTCGCACATTGTTTGGATCCCCGTTCGCAAGTTTGATACAGTTACGATCTTCCGTTTGAGCCATTCCGGTCATGTCAGATCTTTAACGATCGGATCGCCCCACCCCGCGCAGCGGATTTTCGTCGTTTTCGCCCCATCGGATCCCTCCGAGGAGTTGGCCTCGCAAAGGCCGCAGAGGCACAACCTGTGGCGGCCCCGGAGCGACCGAGGGAGGAGCCGCGGATGTTCTGAAAGCGTTTGCGGGTGCCGGGGAGTGGAGGAAGGAACAACAGTGGTGGGTTGACCAACTGGTTGACCATTGTGGAAGTGGACATGTTTGGAGAGGAACATCCTAGTCGAGAGCGGTTGTTGAAGAGGTGGTTTGAGATGGACAAGATTGGACAAGTGCGTGCATGACAGATTGTCCGGCACGAGCCCCAAACTGTTGATATGATATGATAATTATGATATGATTGGAACATGTGATGATTCCTCTTGCTGAATGTCAATGGGGGGTAGGGGTAGAGGAGCGCTCCTGACCTGTCCAAAACATCCCAAAACCACATGCACCCATCTCTGAATGGACATCTCCCAAGTATTGCACCCATCCTTCCGTTCATTTAAGGTCTTTATAGGCTGTAGATCATGTCCTGTGGCTGCATAGGGGTTTGACCCACAGCCTCCTACCAATCGTTCGCCTTGCTGAGGCATGCAGTGCTGCCCGAGGGCATGCAGCTGAAACTGCCACTCGGCTTGGTCATACGATCGACGGTTGGGGGAGATTGTAAGGGACATTGGGAGAGGAAACGGTCAACGATGTCATTCGGGGGTAAACTCTTTCGAGGCACAATCAGAAGAAGAGCTACTTATATATATATATAGATGTGTGTTTGATTGGTGTATTCTGGGTGAGCGTGCCTGGTGTGCTGGCATTGATGGATTTGCTCTTCGTTCGGGCGCAGCCGGACAAACCATGAGAAACCCGTGCTAACCCTGCGGCTAGCCCTGCTGGTGGCCGATTCAACGCCAAGGCTTCATGTGATCGATAGTTTGGGCAGCTGGAAGGAAGAGATGGGCTTCCGGACCTAGGCAGTGAGAGCGAGGGAGGGCGGTTCGAAGTGCTGACAACTTGAGAAACGTGTTGCTGCAAAATCAATCACACGTGCTACAAAAGAGTAATAGTTATATATACTGTATATATAGGATGTTTGCTGGCATTCTTCTTGCTTCTAGCTTGATATCGCAAAACAACCTCCTGATTGGCGGCCGTAATGCGCTGCAAAAAGCAGCTTTCCTTGGCCCTTCGGGGTGTCATTCCATGGTGCGGGCTTTCGTGGCTGCGATGGATTCCTTGACTCAGGGTTGGGTTACCTGTTGCAGTCTACACTGGCCCAAACAACTGCGGTAGGGGTTGTAACTACAATGGTTTAGACATGTTTAGACGCAAATCCAGGGTCTCAGACAATATGGGTTTCAGGGCAAGCTCGCCCATGCCGGTTCCGGTGTTGGTAGGAGGGTTCTAGGAGGTCGCTTGGGTTTCAACTCTGATTCTTGTGGCGTGGCTTGAGGTTTTAAGAATGTTTAGATCCCAAAATGCATAGAAAATATAGACACGTAGATCTCCACTAAAATGTATTGGACACTGTGCCACTATCTATTTTTTGGGGATCACTATAGAAGTACTGGTAGTTTCTGGCAGCTGTGGCGCTTGGACATTGTCAAAGTTTGTAGAAGATGTTTGATTCTTGGCAGACAGGGGTGACTAGCATCAGTGGGGCTGATTGATTTATCGAGCACTCCTTGCTCCTAGTAGCGTTCTTGCTCCTAGTAGTGAGGCCAGGAGCCCCTAGAGGCGATGCCCTTTGCTCCTAGAGGCGATGCCCTGTGCTCCTAGTAGCGATGCCCTTTGCCTTTCATTCGTCAAGGTGCCAAATCAAAGGTCCGACATGACACCGCTGCAAAAATTGTAGCACCCGATGCTGGGGATTGTGGCCCACATGGCCTGAGCAGTGAAAGGCTGGCAGGCATGCGAAAAGAAAAGTGGCGAGCCGGGTTGCCTACAGACCCCCAAAACTACGGTAACATGACCTTTACACAGTGCACTTCATTGTGTAGAAAATTCGTTTGAAAATGGGGAATCAATTGGCACTGATGGGAGGAAGAAGGCTGTTTGGCAACAGTTCCTTGATGCAGGAGCGCTAGGTTTCAGTTGTGCTCAGTTGTTATTTTTGTGACTTTGATAAGGGCAGGTCCTCTTGCGTTTGCTTCCCCTGAGCCATGACGTTGTCCTGCTCGTACTTGAAGCAGAAAACTTGCCAAAACAGCAGAGGCCTTGCGTCCTTGTTTTGATGTGGACAAAAGGGTCTCAGATGATTGGCGGGATTTTCTTGGCTGAGCTGGATGCAGTTGGATGTTTGGGCTATATTCTTGTTCAGACTGCTCGTAATTAGGTCATGCACCCACGTGTGCCATAGGGAAATCAGTTCTGGGAAGGCTTGCACTGACACTAGAATGATCATACCAGCCCTCTACAAACTGATGGGGCGAACATGACTGCCGGCCTTGCCGGTCTTGCTTCTCGGTTGGGAACGGACCAGCGGGGTGGGGCATTCTTTGGACCGCGGCCCTCGAGCGAGGTTGGTAGCTACGCCGCTGAATTGGCCTGGAATAGGATGGATTTGGGATTTCCTTTTTCTGAGGATGACGTGCTACGGTAGACCCCAGTGCATGTGAACTAGGGCCAGGACATGAGAAAGAAAGGGGTACGGGATTGGTGGCTAATATGCCAGATTATGCCAGTTGGCCAGAAGCTTTCAATCAGCCTGGAAGTGTCCCAAGAAAAGCCCGTGAGATGGATGTGGGGTGAGGTACACAATCATGTTTAAACGACCTCCTTCAACCATTGTACAACAAATTTTAAGTTGGAGGGGTGGCAAAAGCTCTTTTTCTTGGTTTGGCCTTTAGCTTGGAAGCGCTTCACATGTAGGTCATTTCCAAGTGTTCATGCTTGTCCACTTGCTGGTCAGCACAAACTCAACAAGTGAACCGGTGATGGACTCAGCTTGCACCGCTTGAGTGAAATCACGGAGGGGAATCCCAGAGAACCATCTGCACTAGCGCTGTTTGGGACCGGCATGTCGGTTCACCAGCGGCCCATTTCGGTGCCACCTGGGCGGCAACCATTTGTGTGCAGGTTGGGCCTACAGGCAATCCATTAACATCCACTAGCTAGGTGGTGGTTTCGGACATTTTTTAATGTTCAACCGGGATGATTGAACCCACTGACTAGTACGTACACTAATACACTAATTGTGATTGAACCCACTGTTCCATCTGTGTCAAGTGAGTTGACCATGTTGAAACCACTAGCCAGATTAATGAGCCGCTTGGCAACCATTGGAGGTCATGATTTTCCCTTTGATGATCCGCCTGGTGCATTGATCGGCGCTTTTTATGCTCGACTCTTGGGGCTGGTGTCAACGTACCCTGCATGCTTGAGTCGTTGATTTCTGCGGGCCGTTCTGCGTGATGGGGCCTCATGATAGATTTAAACCTGGTAAGGTAAGCTGCAGGTTTCCAAAGGGATTGAATGAGCTGCGAGCTGCTTGTGCCTACAGTTCAGTTTGGTGAGGCTAGGGTTGCACAAGACACATTGGCATGGATAATTAAGGATTGTAAATATCATGGCTTGTCAAGGGTTCCAGGCCCTGCAGTTCTCCCAGGATTCCGATGGGCAGAGAGTTTCCCAGGCTTTCCAGGTGTTTCAACCCCCCCAGCATTCCCTAGCGGTGGATATCGGTTACCAGGTTGAGTGGCATTGAGTGGCAAATATGTTGACCGTTGAGCGTTGTAAGTTGTAAGACAACTCTTGAACGCCAGAGGGCGTGGTCTTACAGAGTTGTGCGACCCCTCAACTTCACAGAGCGGCTTTGCTTCGTGCTTTGCTCGAGACGTCTCACGCGTTCGAAGTTCCTTGCATGTCATGAAGGATAAAGCACCGCGTGCCGCATGTGGGACGCGGCCATAGATCAGCGATAGTCAAATTCCGGTTTGACAAGGGGCCCGAGCTTTTATATAGATGCATAAGTAGATTATATATATAGTTATATATTTTGGGGATAGGGGTAGGAAGGTTCCCAGCAGTACTCCGTCCTCCTTGAACACAGAAAGTGTTGGGACATGTTGGGAATCTTTGTGCTATGGCGGCCGAAGGTCAACGTTTTTTTGTCGTTCCTGTCTCTGACTCATATGCATTTGGCCGATTCAAGTTGTTGTCATTTGCATGAGTCTAAATGAAACCGGGATGTTTGGATTTGACCCCCAACCCCCCCAAACCCCAAGATGGTAGGGATTTTGTGTTTTACCATGTGTTGTTGGTGCTTTATCATTTGAGGATTGGGTTGCTCAAGTGGTTCCTTCAGCATTGTTTTTTTGTGGGCGGCATTCCTTGAAGCAGGAAGAAAAGTTAATTACCGAAACCGAACCATCGCCTCTTGAGCAGTTGAGCTATCCTTTTCCTTTGAGCGGTAGGATGTTTGGAGGATGTTTCAGGATGTTTCCTGCGGCCTCTATCAGAAGACCCCTATCAGCCCATCAGCTCCCAGGGTTCTCCCCCGCTCCCAGCCCCAGTCATCCCAAAAGTTCTCCGGTTGCCACGTTTGGGACCTGACCTTTCCTCCAAAACCCAGGAGCTGGTGGACTTTTGAAAAAAGAACGAGGCAAAGCAGCGAAGGGTCATTCTCTGTCATTCTTTATGTGCATAAGCGGCACAAGTGCAAAGCGATGGCCTTCGTTGAAACTCTAGCATGGCAAAGCTTGGACCATCAGGAAATTCCAGGCAAGCTCTCATCCCATCTCATCCAGACCGTCTTGTATTTATGGGCCTGGTCACATGAACTCTAAGCATGTGCATTGAAGATGGAAGACCCAACACTCACATGGACCCTGAACATGGACCGCTGTGTCCGATGAGGCTCCATGGTTGTCTCTTAAAACCAGGTGGGCTTCATTGTCGTCGGTGTACGAGGGCGGATGTTGGGAATGTTTGGAATCAATTCTGATGACACACTGCCTGTGTGCATGCGCAGCTTGGCTCCCAAGCGCAGCCTGGTTGGTTTGGAAGCTTTGGTCCGCTGCCTGGCATGCGCCTCTTACACTACAGCATTGAGAACCTCCCCGCAAACCGCTGAGGGACCCAGGGACGTAAGTAGGCTTAAAACCTTTTTGACGCACACCAGCTGACACTATTGGCGACACCAACTCAACTGTCTATACTGCTTACCCTCAGCATCACAGAGTTTTGAAGAGATCAATATGGCCGCGAAATGTACCAGCGACCGCCTGCAGGTCTGGAACCTTGGCGGTGTTTGTAATGTGCTTTGGATCATTCCGACTCGGCAACATAATTTTGATCACACCAGTCTGGAAGAACTCCCGAATCCAGGAATGCCCATTGCGAAATAGCAACTATTTGACTGATCGCACTGCTTACTATGTAGTTACGAGGGCTACTAAGTGGTTAGCAGACTTAATGTTCTACTTGTTACTTATCTATCTTCGGTTGCTGGACTAAGACTAGTTAATTATATAATGTTAATTATATACAAACATGAACCGTTTAAACTTTAGACTTCGCATTTGATCAGGATATCATATACCATCATGTGCAAATATTGTCTTAATAAGTAAGACGTATAAAAGACATATATATATATATATTTATTTGTATATACACATACTGTATATGAGTGTATGTGTCCATTCTTTCTTGCGTGGAGGGTCTTCGCTGTTCGATGTGTTGGTGGCTGTGGGGGCTCCCAGGCGCTCAGGGAGATGTGATCCAGCAGGGTTCGAGAACCTGAGAAACAGTCGTTGACCCACGAAGCATGCATCATGCTGGAGTATTCTATACAAACACGAAGAGGCAAGCCTGAAGCTAAAAGGTCAGGAGATATCAGAAAAAACGGGCAGTTCTATACACAAAGGTCACATGAATGGCATGTGCATACTGTTGAGAGAGATCCTGCACCACCTAAGCTGTGGATTTGTGGTTGTTGGAGACCCTGCAGTGCATCGCTCGTTGGGAATCCCCCGCTTCTGATATCCTGGTGCCAGGTTGATGGTGGCCAGCCAGTGGCCAGCTTTTTCTGTTGTTGGGTCCTCAGCATTTTTAAGGGGAATCATTAGGAAGGTTGGTTCTTGTTGTTTGTAATGATTTTTGCCATGGGCCAAACGTCATATAGCTGGCGCTCCCCATAGTGCACCAAAGAGATGTTTCCAGCAACGCGGCTGAACGACAACAATTGGGACATCTGCAAGCAGTTACATACACTTTGTACACGTACATTTGCAGCCCTCTTTGAGGTCCGAGAAAAGGGGCGCCATCGTTTGCATGGTAGCGGAGCCCTGGTTGGGCTCCCGCTCCTGACCCCCTGTAAAACCGGCGTAAGGCCCTCGTGGCGGCGGTGAGGCGGGCACCCTGTAAATCCACGTGAAATCTCGTGGTGTGGGCACGGCGTAAAATCCCTGTGCCGGGTGGCAAGCAGCGCACATGGCAGCGCCTGTGACGCCTCCCCTTGCCTTCGACATGGCGGCTGCTGCGGCTGATGGCTTTGAGTCGCCTACATCCCAACCACATCCGCTACTACCTCAGCCAGTTCCTGGTCCGCGGCTCATCGACACGAAAGCCATCGGGAAGCTTCGAGCATTCAGTGGAAAGGATGAAGATTGGCCGGCTTGGGTGTTCGTTGCACGGGGCTACGTGCACCTGCTCGACCGTGCTTACCGAGGCATGCTGGAAGCTGCTGAGAATGCCGCCTCGCAGAACGAGCTGTCCATGATCGATATGAGTGACACAGCTCAGGAATTGTCGACTGTGCTCTTCAACCTGCTCACCCAGAGCGTCGACGGCAGAGCTCTCCAGATCCTGATGAACGTGGAGGGCCAGAATGGGTTCCAAGCCTGGAAGGCATTGTGTGATGCCTATGAACCACCAGTGGGTGGACGGCACATGGTGATGCTCACGGCCATCATTGCGCCCGACTGGAAGAACATCAAGGAGTCCGAGATCCTTGAGACGATTGAGTCATGGGAAGTGCTGGTGAGGCGCTATGAGATGCAGTCCAAGGAGACGGTCTCTGAGTCCATGCGGGTTGCCGTGTTGATGAAGCATGTTCCGAGCCCGGTGAAAGATGCCATGAGAGCTGCTGGAACGCAAATCGGCACAAACTATGAGAGAGCAAAGAAGTTCATCCGGGACTACCTGCAGACTGGCAACATCTACAAGTCTGGTGGCGCACTGGCCAAGGATGATGGTGGCTTGGCACCTATGGATGTGGGAGCAGTGTCCCATGGAGACAAGGGCAAGAAGGGCAAGTCAAGCAAAGGGGACAAAGGAGTCAACAAAGGTGGAAATACGACAAGCAGGGAAAGGGCAAAGCACCCATCACGAAGAAGTTCAATGGCGAGTGCTCTTATTGTGGCAAGTGGGGCCACAAGAAGGCAGACTGTCGCACTTTGGTCCGAGATCGAGCCCGACGTGACGGCGACAAGGGCAAAGGCAAGAACAGCACGAATGCAGTGCAGGCAGCACCGAGTGGTTCAGCTGCACCACCGTCACCTCAGGGAGCTCCAGGCAGCAGCACCAATGCTGTCTACTACTGGATTGACCCCGACAATGACGAGAGGAAGGCATGGGCCGACACCTATGACATCGAGGACGAGTACAGTGATGAGATGTGGGTGATGATGATCCACAAGGCCAACAAGCAGGTGAGCGAATGGCACCACATGAACATCTCCCAGCCTAGCGGCACCTCCGTGAAGTACCTTCTTTGGGACTCTGGCAGTGATGAACACCTCTGCCAACCTGTGTTCGGAGGCGACCAGCACACCGAAGAGTGCCGAGCTGAGCTGCTAGGGATTTCTGGGAAGAGCTTGGGAAAACTCGGAAAGAAGCGAGTGAGCTACAAGATTGTGGGCGAGAATGGCAACTTCCTGAATGCCATCACGGAGTTCAAGGTGAGTCAGCAAGCCAGCAAGGACGTGCTCTCAGCTGGCAAGATGAGCAAGAATGGATTTGTGGCTGACATGAGAAACAAGTTCAAGCCATACCTCAGCCATCCTGACATCTCATTCAGGATTCCTCTCTACATCCACAGGAACTCCTACTACATCAAGATTGTGGATGATGAGGCCGTGCCGTATGACATGAAGGTTGATGCCACTGTGGCACCGGTGGTGAGTCAAGGTGACCAGTATGACTGGGAGTTCGCCGGTGTGGACGAAGATGAAGAAGGGATTGAGATGATCCCACTGCCTGAGGAATTTGCTCGTGATGAAGCCCATGCTCGTGCAGACCGACAGAAGCTGCATGGGTGGAGCAAGGTGGCAGATCTTCGAGCCCGACTCAAAGAGTTGGATGAGCCTATCTATGGCGACAAGCACACCCTGTGGACAAGGCTGAAGAAAGCAGAAGCTGCATTGAATGCACGAAGAGCCTCAGCAAGAGACTATGTGGAGAAGCATAGCGAGAGGCAGCAAGCCTTGCGAGAAGGGCGTGGAGCCGAAGTTCAAGAGCTTCCAAAGCCGGTGATCCCCAGTGATGAGGAGATGAGGCAGCATGCTTTGACACATCTGCCACCACAACCCTGGTGTGAATTCTGCACCCGAGGCCATGGCGTGGAGATTGCTCACAAGCGAAGGACCTTGGAGCAGAAGCTGTCTGACAACCACTTCGAGCTTGACTACAGCTTCTTGAAGACCGACACCAGCCTGGCCGACAAGTTCGAGGAGTGCAGTGACACAGTGCTGTCAGTGGTTGACACTGGCACTGGCATGGGACTGGCCTTCAGCATCCCAGCCAAGAACTTGGGCATCCCCTACGTGGTGAAGGTCATCACATCCTTCATCGCCCAGCTGGGGTATGACACAGTGAAGCTGAGATCAGACAACGAACCAGCGATCAAGAAAGTGAAGGGGCAGATCGCTGAGGCCTTGAGGAAGGGTGAAGCACCCGGAGCTGCTGGATTGAAGATCATCTTCGAGGAGGTTCCAAGGTATAGTTCACAGAGCCTTGGAACGATGGGGGCATTCCAGAAATTGCTTCGTGGAGATGTCCTGACTTTGAGGTATGCAGTCGAAGCGGAGTATGGCATCACATTGCATACATCCCACAACCTATGGCCCTGGTTGGTGCGCTACTGCTCTTTCATCAGATGCCGCTATGCAGTCAAGTCGAACCAGCGCACAGCATACCAGGATGCATTTGACTGCCAGTACACGTCACCTCTCATCCCGTTTGCAGAGACAGTCCTCTTCAAGACCCCCATGAGTAAGGCCAGAAGGGCGCATGGGAGAAATGTGATCACCAAAGGTGAGACGGCATGGGCAAAGGGAATCTACCTCGGCAGGAGTGTGACCAGCAACGAGTACCTCCTTGGCACGCCAGATGGCACCGTGTCAGCAAGATCTGTGAGGAGATTCGCAGACAGCGCCAAGACCCATGACCGAGACCTATTGGAGGCCATGATTGGGGTACCTTGGGACCAAGGAACCACCATTGGACGTCCCAAGAGGAAGATCGAGGCAATCATGCCGATGACCCCGAGTGCAGTTCCAACGGAAGCTGAGACTGATGAGAAGAAGGCCAAGATCAAGACCTTTGAGGAAGAGCCGACAGAGCCAACACTCAATCAAGGCGGGCCATCGTCCGGCAGTGGACGGAATGACGAACCCATCCTCATCAGCGAGAAGCCTGCCAATGTGGAGCCCTCTCAGGAGGCGATGGAGACTGAACAAGTCATCGACAAGTCCCCCATGGAGATCAAGGTTTCTGCAAGACGTGCCTGGCCTGGTGGAGATGATGAAAACCCAGAAAAGAGGGCACGCGTGGGCGGAGTATATGTTGGGGCACTGTACTCGCCGACCGAGGATGTGATCGTCTATGAGGAGGATGTGGAAATGGCAGCAGTGGACTCCGATGATGAGGAGAGCAAGCCTTTGACGGCAGAGGAACGAGCACAAGGCCGAGAGGTCGAGTATGGGAAGATGGACAAGTACGACACCTATGAGCCTGTGTCCTACCAGCCTGGAATGAAGGTGCTGGATGCCACATGGGTGGAGGTGCGAAAGCCGGACGGAGCAGTGAGATGCCGATACTGTGTCCGCGAGTTCAAACAAGGTGATCCAAGGACTGATGTGTTTGCTGTAGCCTCCAGCACATCGACTTCAAGAGTGGTGGACGTCATTGGCATCAAGATGGGCTACGCCTTCATGACCGCAGACGCCGAGAATGCTTTCTGGCAGGTTCCCATCAAAGAAGATGCATACATGCTCCCTCCGAAGGACTGGATCGAGAAGCAGATCGAGGCCGGTGTGACCCTGCCTGAGAAGGTGGTTTGGAAGTTGAAGAAAGAATGGTATGGGAGGAGGATTGCTGGACAATGTTTCGTCGAATGGGCAGCAGGGCACCTCAAGGACTTGGGGTTCAGCCGTAACCCAGCTGCACCCTGGCTGTTCCACAATTCCAGCAAGGGCATCCTCATGGAAGTTCACATGGACGACTTCTTTGCCACTGGACCGCAGAGATCCCTGGAAGAGCTGGAGAAAGAGCTCCACAAGAGGATTCGCATGAAGAGCCAGATCCACCCGTTGATTGAGGGAGAGAAGTTCACGCACCTGAAACGCACAAGGGAGATCTATAGCAATGGAATCTTCATCAGCCCAAGGTCCAAGTACATCACCGACCTGCTGAAGATGTTGAAGCTTGAGAACTGCAACCCAGCACCGACTCCCTATGTTCACAGTGAGGTGAAGGAGGGTCAGAAGCTGAACGAAAGCTGCACGAAGCTGTTCAGGGCTGGAGTTGGCATTGCACTCTACTTGAGCTACGACCGGACTGACATCCAGTTTGCCATCCGCGAGCTCACGAAGGACATGAAAGACCCCAATGATGGAAGCATGGCAAAGCTGCATCGCTTGGCAAGATACCTGCAGGGCACGAAGGACTATGGCATCTGGCTGGAGCGCAGGGGGGACATCGAGACCCTTGTTGTCCATTCGGACACGGACTGGGCGAATTGCAAGAAGACGAGAAAGTCATGTGCCTGCGCCATGTTTAGTGTTGGTGGCTGCTTGCTCTACAGCTACGCCCGCAGCCTACAGATGCTGTGCCTGTCCTCAGGTGAAGCCGAGTTCAATGGAGGAGTGGCAGCATGTGCCGAGGGATTGTTCCTGAAGGAGATCTTCATGTTTGCAGGACATCCCATCAAGATGGAAGTCTTCCTGGACTCAAGCGCAGCAAGAGGAGTCTTCCAACGACAAGGTGTGGGGCGCATCCGCCATTTGGAAGTGAAGAGCCTATGGGTTCAAGAAGCATTGCAGCGAAAGCTGTTCACGCTGCATGCTGTGCCGAGCAGTGACAACACAGCTGACTTTGGCACCAAAGCCCTGACCATCGAGAGATTCCACAAGTTGAGGACCATGTTGAAGATTGGCACCCATGAGGAGGTCAGCGAGAAGGAGAAGAACCACGTGAATGTGGTGAGCACCGCTGGCCAGTTCAGCAAGAAGATGATGATTGCAGCACTCATCACGATGCTGCAACAGGCAGATGGAGCAAGGGAAGCTGATGAGCCCAATGCCGAGAGTGGCACCCTCAGCCAGTGGATCTTTACAGATCTGGCTGTCGCCTTCACTTCAGTTGGGTCCTTGTGATCCAGGTGATCATGCTGGCTGGATTCCTCTGGCTGTTCGGCAAGATCAATGGGGGCTTGAGCATCCGACTTGGGAAGACAACGGAGACAAAAGATGCAAGCACCCAGGTCGAGTGGATGGCGCAGAAATGGAGCAAAGTCTTCTGGCTTGAAGGCCGAGAAGTTTTCCACGTCGATTGCACGTGTCCTCGACTCCAGCAAAGGTCGAGGGAGTTTGAAGTGCTTCGACTTTGCAGAAGCTGCCCGACAAATGGGCCAGCCTAAGCTTGCGAAACCCTACACTCGTGTATAGTTTCGAGGGGGGTGCAAGCAGTTACATACACTTTGTACACGTACATTTGCAGCCCTCTTTGAGGTCCGAGAAAAGGGGCGCCATCGTTTGCAACATCCCTGAATAAAATACCCATTGCTATGACCAAAGGTGCTGAACGACCTACGGCTAACAGGCAGGATTTAGAGAGATAGGGTTCCACTCTGTTCCGAGGGCTGGTGTGGGGGAGTAATGAATCTTGACTCATTCTGAGACCAGTCTGTACACACGGTGGTGTGAGGTCAACCATTCAGCGGTATTTGCGGTGCGACATGGGGTCTGTGTGCGACATGGATTCAAGAGACGCAACCCACCCAGAGATGTATAGAGATGTCTGGGCTTGTATGTCGCAGAGATGTCTGGGCATGCACGGGCTGGTTTTTCAACACTCTTGTTTGGTTTGGCCTCCATGGCCTCCTTGTGCTTGCACGTCTCAAGCCGAGGCCTCGTTCTTTGCTTTGCCGAGGTGACAAGCCGCTCGCGCCGCTCACCGCGGTTTCGGAGCCGGGGAGCTCCAGCTGCGAAACCTCGGCCGACGATGCGCGGTTTCCGGGGCGTTAAGTAGAGAAGACGAGCTCAATAATGTCCCATACAAGCGGGCCAGGCCTGTGGAATTGAGCTACGTCGCAGATGCCTGAATCAGACCGTATGCTGCATTCGCGCAGGAATGAACCTGTGGAATGTGGAGGACACCAGTCCGTGATTCAGGTCTTATGGGACATCGATGAATCAGGTACTGTATTTGAAATAATGGGTGAACTTGAAACTTACCTATCAATATTAATTGATCACCTATTATTGATAGGAGAGAAAGTCCGATGACCTTCTCACACATTTACAACTTCAACTGCGTCACAGAAGACCTTCGGTGGCCAGACTGTGCAGTGAGCCTCACGCAGTGATTCTCGCCGGCAGCTCAATCAGCTTAATCAAACAGAGCAGACCTTGCTAGCTTCCGCTGGCACCCTGCCTGCGGGCTGATGATAGACAGTCCTGAAGGTAGGAAGGCCTTTGCATACAGCTGTTGTGAGACTGTTAGTTTCGTCATGTTTTGTCATGGACACGCTGTGGCTGAACATAGCCAAGGAGTCTCAGGCTTGGACCCCCTCTCAAAACAGAAAATCCAAATCTGTATCAATTGAGATGGGTGGATCGTTAAATGGTCAGCATAGATGGATCTGAAGAGATTGTAGATAGCGCAGACCGAGACGTATATAGATCCTTCATGATCCTTCTACGCGTCATTGGGTTAGCAAGTCCCCTCCAAATCCGACATCGAACCGCCCATGCCTGCTGATCCTAATCCTGTGATGAGAGTATTCCGACTATCAATCCTGCTCCCACCGCTCATGGCGCTCTCATGCGGGAGCCACGCGAGCGCCGTCAGCCATGCGAAAGGGGCATGTTTGGTGGTTCACTGGCGTGGTAGGCGACATGGCATTGGTCCTGTTTGATCACGAGCGTCACAGAATTGGTGTACTGTCATTGCCTGTGCCGTACTGTGTCAGCATGGAAAGACATGTTCGGATTCTTTGCACTCCCCAATGCCACTCCCAGGCGCCCAAGCTGGCGCTGTGGGCACGTGCCTGGCCGGGCCTGGAGATCGCCTGCCACCGGAAGAGGCCTTGAAACGACAGAGGGACGCTGCAGCCGCTCTGGATGCGGAGGTGTTCTTCTTGCTGACGCTGAAGGTGGGAGACGTGTGTGTTGATGGTGTGTTGTGCTATTCTGCTCGCTGTGCTGCATGCTCTGGATGGTTATCGGATCGGAGATCAACATCAGTAGTTGCTTCAGTTGCTTCTCTCTTCAAGGTGGAGAGTTGGCTAAGTCACAGAACATGCAAGTTCGTCACAGATGTTCACAGGTCAGTGATGGAGCTCCAATGACGGTCGCATCGGCATCGAACTCACGGCTGCGTCGGTCATCGGTCGTGCCTCCCGGTGGTCCAGGTGCGCCCAGAGCGTCCGGAGACGGGGCCGCCAGAGGCCCACTGGGCCAAGAAGGCGGGAGCTGGATGAGGTCCATGAACGATGGTCACACACAGACACACAACATGTTCTTCCAGTTGCTTTGCAGCAAGGATTTGTTGAGGCCGATGCATTTTCGTGCAATTAGATAGTTTGGCTTGGGGCATGCTTTTGTTATAGCACTTGAACCTTACAGCTGGCGAATGCTGGCGATCATCGTCGGCAAAACGACCAGCAACGTCCTGGTATTCTCCGGTTTCCACTTTTATGTAAAGGTGAGGGACGTACATAAGAAATCAGTGGGTCTGACGGTCATCCCGGTTTGTTGATGTTTGTCGCATGGATGTGCAGGTTGCCGTTTTTCCTTAATTAGTGACTTAGTGCATGCCGGCAAGGATGAACAACATGGCATTGAGAGACATTGCGGGCCCCATTGTTTGGCACGCATATATGCAAATAAGGTACAAGTAAGGACCTTCATTGAACCACATGCACGCCGGCGGTGCGGTCTCCACCATCTCGTCGAGCGTGCAGGTCTACTATGTCTACGATGGCCGAGGGCGAGAGGCATTGCTGTTTGATCACCTGCACTTTGCTCAGAACAGCTCTGCCCTCAAGGAGCCTGGGAAGATCCATCACAATGGAACCCGGGAGATGTGGTGGTCTTGACAAAAGCCTGGAAGCACGAGCTTGCACAGCAACCAGCTGTTGCAGTGTGTCATGTTGAGATCATGTGCGCTGAACCCCGCCGTGGCACCCCGACGTTGCCAGGAGTACGAAGAGATCCCCGGCAACTTCCTCGCACCTTTGGCGGCGTGCCTTGGGTGTAAGATGGTGCGAGTATGCCCAAGGCTTTTTGAGGATGATGTTTTGGTACGAGATTAACAGAGCATATCACCAATCTACAAATCACGAAAGCTAGCTGTAGCTAGCTGGAGTCTGTCTTGCTTTAGCAAGGAGGGTGGGAGCCCAGGACCTGAGTGCTATTACCTGGTATATCAGGACTAGACCCCCCCCCCTCGCGGGGTTCAACTCCACCCTTCTCCTCCTCGGTACCTGCTGCTGCTGCTTGGTCGCTGCTGCTGCTGGCATCTCATCTGCGCCTGGCGCTTGGCTGCTTGCTGGTTGCTGCTGCTTGCTGCTTGCATGCTTGGTGCTGCTGGATGCTCTTGGCTGCTTGCACGCTTGCTGCTGCTGGATGCTGGCTGCCTGCTGCTTGTTGTCTGCTCCGTTTTGCTGCTGTTGCTGTTTGGGGTTGTTGGCTGCTGTTGGTGCTCAAGAAAGCTTATTCGTTAGAATCGAGAGTAGTTGCATTCCCTCTGATTCGGGAAACGATGCTAATTTCATTATATCCTTAAGAAGCTTGTACAGGCATGTACCCACCCCACAACCCCCACGAGTACAAATCAGAATGCACCATCCGCTATCCATGCAGATCAAAAAGATTATACTTACTACACACATGAATGACAGAACCCAGTAAGATGTTTGAACGGGCTGTTTGCTTCACTCATGGTAGTCCGCGTTCCATGTTCGAGCGACAGGGAGCATGCACAAGCGTTGCGACGGAGTCTTCGGTCGCTGACACATGTTCGCATGCAACCCCTGGATGTCAATCATGCACACCGCTGCTGGTTGCATCGTCAGCATTTATTCGTGGAAAAAACAGATATATCAGATATATCTGTCTTTCCACGTCGCCCTTCTACAATTACTCAGGCAGCACCTATATGTGCTATTGTTCGAGACCAAATGTTGGGGCGCGAAAGACTCTAAGGAAAGCTCACTCTTTCCCTGCTGCTGCTGCTGCTGCTGCTTGGTAGCTGGTGGTGCTGCTTGGTAGCTGCTGTTGATGCTGCTGCTGCTTGGTAGCTGCTGCTGATGCTGCTGCTGCTTGGTGGCTGCTGCTGCTGCTGCTTGGTAGCTGCTGCTGCTACTGCTGCTGCTGCTTGGTAGCTGATGCTGCTGTTGCTTGGTAGCTGCTGCTTGGTAGCTGCTGCTGCTGCTGCTGCTGCTGCTGCTTGGTAGCTGCTGCTGCTGCTGCTGCTGCTGCTTGGTAGCTGCTTGGTAGCTGCTTGGTAGCTGCTCCTGCTGCTGCTGCTGCTTGGTAGCTGGTGCTGCTGCTTGCTAGCTACTCCTGCTGCTGCTTCTGCTCTGCTTGCTGCCGCTGCCGCTGCTGGTTACAGTTATTGTTGTTGTGGCTGCTGCGGTTGCTGGGGTGGTTGTGTGTTGCCATGTGTTGGCTGTGTTGGGGTCGTATTGGGGGGCGCTGTTGGCACTCTCCTTTTCCCTTGGCCATGGCATGTTGCGATTCCCGGCCAGGCTTTTGCTGCCTAAAGAGCCCCAGCGTTGTTTCTTTCCCTAGCTTTCGCCACCCCCCTCTGGGCCACAAGTAGCTTTCTACATTTCTGTGTTTGAAAAGGGGGTTCCCTCATTGCATCTTTTATTTGCTTGGATGACAGTATTCTGCTTTATTGCTGTTACATTGGAAGCCTATCAGAGCAGACCAAACGTCCTTTTTACTTTCATACTTATGCAACAGTTGCCGCTGGTAGTGATGTTGAGGGTTTGTCTTTGAGCCTCATCTTGTAAGGACCCTCAATGGTCGCAATGCGTTTCACCTGCGGAATTTGTGGCAATGCTTCGAGATCCTGGTGGCAGAGGACTGGGTGAGAGACGGATTTTTTTCGGACGGAGCATGGCTGATCCAACCGATCTTCTCCAAGCTTTCGGACCAATCACGGCACAACAAGCGACTCGTTTCGAACTCGCTGGACCACCCCGATCGACCCATCACCCCGATCGGAGTCATTCGTCCGGATGGAGAAAGAAGAGAAGCTGATCGTCTGACTCTCTAGACGATGAAGACATCTCTAGAGACGATGAAGTGAGTACCATTTTTAGTTCTGAAGGGGTTCCGTGTTTCCGTTGAGTGTTTGTGTGTAGAAGGCCCCAGCCAGGCCAGCACGCCGACGGTGGACGACCATCCATTTGAGATTGGTGAACCCGAAGTCCCAAAATCATCGGTGACCACTGGCGAAGACGGACCGCACCCGTTTTGGGTCAAAACGGAGGAATCTGCCCGCGGTGAGCGCTACAAGTACTGGAGCTTTTCTCGCCTGGACTGGTATTGGTTGGCTCCACCTCCCCGGTTGGAGCTTTTCATCGAAGCTGATCCAAGAGCTCTCTGGATCCCAGATGGTTCTGACTGGGATGGCATCAATGACCGTCCACCATTTTGGAATTAAGAAGTGTTGGAATGTGTTGGAATGCTTTTACTAATCTTTAATAGCGTTTGGCACCTTTAAACAGAACACGAGCAAACACGTCACGTTTTGGCGGACTGGGATGCCTGGACCGGCCGCATGGACGACTCGGAGGTTTTGCACTAGTGCCTCGGCGCTTTGGGCACATCTACTTTGGCAGATGGCCCTGGATCCTGAATGGCTCCTACCTCCAGATGATGAAAAACGCAGCTCCTTTAAACTTTGAACTCTCACCCAAGTTCTTTGGAGGCGCAGGACTTTTGTTGACGGCGCCCATCGGCGCCCTGTGTGGTCAAGTCGGTACAAGCACAAGAACCCGTAGGAAAGAAAAAGAAGCTTCTAATATCTTCTAATGGCTTCTTTGCTCCTAGTAGTACGGCCAGGAGCCCCCGGTTAGCATTCTTGTTCCTAGTAGCGTCCTCGCCGAATGGCGATTCTCCGGTGTGATTGTGCGCTGAAAACGTGCGCCGAGATCTGCACTTACAATCTGCAAAAAAGGCTCTTGGGCCCCACTCCTCGATGGAGCGAACATCACCATGCTGCACTGCTCACCACGAAGAAAAACACAAACACACTTTGACATGGGGTTTTCAGTTAACTCAGTTCCCAGGTCGAAAATGGTGAGAGAAACGCAAGGTGAAAAAGTCGGCGAGAAACAGTATGGTTTAACAGTGTTTTCAAGTGATCTCGAGATCGATCTGTACAATCAGCGCGGTGACGAGCTCAGCTGCAGGAAAGTAGGTTTGGGGGAAAAGTATCATGCAAGGACCATGGAAAGAAACTGGAGGAAATTGGAGTCACAGCTTGCGATCACGGCAGGTACGCTGGGATGATCAGTCCCAGTATCACCAGGAAATCGAGAGTGTCTTCATTGGTGGCAGACTCTCGTTCCTGCTGCCACCCCCTGCGATACGGATCGAATAGAAACTCTTTGGAACAGAGTGTGACACACTCTGACATGGGTTTTCAGTTACACTCAATTCCCCGAGGAAAGGAATGGCTCAACGGCAAGGTGATGAGTCCGATCAATTGAAGGTGTTTCAACACATAGTTTGTGCACATCTGCAGACTCGCGACAGCAGCGAACGAGCGGCGGACGGCTGCTGAAAGCCGCGGTGGGAAACCTGTTTAGGGGAAGGAAGACATGAAGCACCATGGAAACAAACCAGGAGAGTAGACAGCGTGTGCAAAAGTTCAAAACTGGCGCAGGTACGTTCGGATGATCCATCCGAATATCCCACTCTGTGACCTAGCTTCGTTGAACTGGGTCAGTCACAGAGTGCCCAGTTCCCCTGCCTTATGGAGTAGTGGTGGTGGAAACAGTGGCATTGAACCCTTTAGTACAGGGGGTCAGCCGCTTTGCGGCGCTTTCGCGGAAAACCGAAATAGGCACCTAAAAAGCCTTAGAAACAAAAGAAAGAAAACCAGAAAGAGCAGCGCTAAAAGGGCAAGAGAGAAAGATAGGCGTAGCAAAAAGTCAATACTTAGCCCTTGACCCTTGACTGGGGTAGGGAAACGAGCCTCAAGAACTAAGCCTGAAGGAAAGCCCAAAAAGCGACAAAAAGCGGAAGAAAGAAAGCGGGGGGCAGGGAGGTGTATGTCCATGTGTGTGTGTGTATGACTACCTAGCACTCTAGAATTACTGACTACTTAGCAGAAATGAATTAAGTGCAATAGTTAGGGAGCGGGACTTTAGTCTTAAACCGCCTGGGTAGAGTAGACTAGAAAAGGGACAACAGAGGGAAAGGCACCGACACACAAGTGTCGAGTACCATTTCCCTTTGTTACCCTAATTAGCGGGGGGGGAGGGGTTGGGGTGTTTGGGGTAGTGAACACGTCGGGGTTCATTCTCCGTTGACCCGGCGGTTTGGATATCCGTGGAGCCCGGCGGCTTAGGTGTTTTTGGAAATACAGTGGTGAAACGAAAGTCCGTTAAGATAATCCAACGAGTGCAGAAAGCGGAAGAAACAGTCACTGTGCACCCACGTGACATTGGGTTTTCAGTTAACTCAGTTCCCAGGTCGAAAATGGTGAGAGAACGCAAGGTGAAAAAGTCGGCGAGAAACAGTATGGTTTAACAGTGTTTTCAAGTGATCTCGAGATCGATCTGTACAATCAGCGCGGTGACGAGCTCAGCTGCAGGAAAGTGGGTTTGGGGGAAAAGTATCATGCAAGGACCATGGAAACAAACCGGAGGAAATTGGAGTCACAGCTTGCGATCACGGCGGGTACGCTGGGATGATCAGCCCAGTATCACCAGGAAATCAAGAGTGTCTTCGTTGGTGGCAGGTTCTCGTTCCTGCTGCCACCCGCTGCGATACGGATCGGACAGAAACTCTTTGGAACAGAGTGTGACACACTGACACACACACACACACACTAAAGCCATTGAAGCAGTGATTCTTGTGTTTTCTTGTGTGTTTTGCTTCCATTTTTCCTCTCGCAGGCCCCGAGTGGTCCCTTTTGGCCGCCCTCAACTACCGTCGGGTGCCCGTGCGGCGCTTCACGCCCACCGGGGCGGTGCTGTGCCTCAACAGCCGCCGAGCGCGCTACGGGCGCTGCACGCGGCCACGGGTGGCCGGGGAGCCATCCTTCAAGTGACTGGGACGTGGAGCGAAACGATGGTCCAGGTGGTGTTGGGCCCTTCAGACAATCTGAGACAATGAGACAGGGCCAACATGTGGAAGTTTACAGTTTACACAGCGCGTTAATGGATTGAATTAGGATCATAGGATCGTTGGACCTTGTTCAAGGATGTTCAATGTTTTTTGTTTAGTTACTTTTGGGGCCACGACGGATTCAAATTCAAATGAGTTTTTTGTTTATTTGGGTGAGATGAGTTGCTTTCTGATCTATGAGGGGTCCCACCCTACTTGTAGCAGCCAACCGGACTGTTTCAAAAAGGGCCAATTGTATGGACTTGTGGCAATGTCCAAACAACGGAGTCTTTGATGAACAAAGGCAGTGACAATCTGATGAGAGCCCAGGTACAGCTCTGAGGCAAGTGAAGCACGAACAGCTTTGTCGCGCATGGCGCTGGGGTGGACTTGGCACTTCGCTCCTCCGCCTCTCTTCGAGCCACCCTGCTTTGAAGAGCCTGAAGACCAGTTGCAGTGCTGCAACCACAGGAGGGCCCGGGGAATGAAGCTGATCTGTAAGGGGTTGTTGGTCGTTGCTTTTTCAGCCGTCCTGCTGCAAAGACGCAGCTACACGCTGAGGTCACCTGGATGGAAAGTTGAACCAACACTGATCCAGCATGGGGTTGGTGGCAGACTTTGTAGCATTCGCTGGTGGACATGGACCTTAGACTTCCTGGTGCTGTATTCGTTGGTGGACATGATTGGACGTGGAAAAATCTTCAGATCAATCCCAACCGAACCAGTCCCAGCCTCATGGCTTCCGACACACCAGGCTTCATGGAGTGTCTGGAGATGCCCAGTGCTGGACGGACACTGGGTTTGCGCATCAGAAGGAGGGCTGTGGGGCTGTTTGCATGGGCAACCCAGTGCAAGGCAGCAATCCGACTGACTTTTACGAACTGGGGGGGGGGTTCCACTTCAGAGTGTTAGTGAGTCGGAGTGTACGAGGCAAAACTTCACTTACCGGTCCAGTGGGTTGCCCAAAGGGTCGAAGATCGTAGCCAGAACGTGAACAGACGACTTTTGAGTCACTTGGATGCATTGTACTCCAAGAAGCGAGACCTAAGTCATGCGGGGTTCAAAATGAACCAAACAATACCAAAGCTTACCAAAGGATGCCAAAGGTCCTTTGTTCAACGCTGCTGGTGACTATTGAACCTGGAGTAACCACTTTCGGCGGCAATCTTTTTCTCAGGATCTCCTTTGATCTCCTTTTGATATTTCAACAACAGATGATATGGGTACCCACCCTGCCATGTGATAGAAGACCAAAGCAGAACCATGCCATGGGTGATGCCGATTTGCGACGGATTTGCTTCAAGATCTATCGGAGTCCCCACCGACCGCGACGCCCAACGCCTCAGGACGTCTTCGACCATGGTCGATGCTGCCAACCACGGCATGGTTTGTGGATCTTGCCAAGTACAAGCATAGCCCAAGAGCCTTTGGTCAAGGGATGCCAAGGGTTTGTTTCACGAGTGGGAACTCTGAGTGAGGAGGACCAAGAAAGGGGCTTCGTTGTGAAGAAAGCTCGTCTAACATGTAAAGGTTGAACGGGGCCCAGTCACCTTCATGGTTTCGCAGTTCACCAACAGAATCGGAGAGGAGACTCCAAACAGGCCGCTGTTTCAACCTGTTTCGTCGTCAGCGGAAGTGCCGCACCCACCACCCCGTTTGGGGCACCGCCACGGTTGGGGGTCACCTGCTCTGTCCTTCTCCCAGGACTTGCTGACCTCGGGCTGCTTGGTTAGCAGCTGGGGAGCCGTTTGGCAGAGTCGGACAGTACTAGCGGCCCATCGGTGGGTTGTTCACGACCTTGAGCTGTGGAATGCAGGCATACGGTCGTGTATATATATGGTATGTCAGAACATAGCAGGATAACATTGCAAAGAACATCAAAGAACAAGCATGTTGGAGGCTGCTCTTGGGGCAGCCAAACTATTTTGAGCTGCACTCCGCAATCAAAGTGCCACTGGCACTATGCAGCAACAGATGTGTATATTGCAAAAATTGTTGTGAAACGATTTCTATACAAGCCATATTATGTGACTTGATAGCCATGCCCAAACAAGCAATACAGACACAATTGTGCTAAAGAAAAGGGTGCGTTTTGACCACTGCTCTCTCAGGAACCCTGCCTCTTTGCTGGCCAGTGGTGGAAGCAGTGAAGCAATGCATTACCGCAGTGCACTTGGATGGTCTAGCTGCTGATGAAAAAAGCCCGCAGCATTTGCAGCCGTGCTGGTGAATGCCCTCCAGACATGCTATGTAGATGGTCGTGTGAAAGCGTGTGACATTTGAGTGAATGTGCAATCGAGATGCTTGCTGGGTTGCTAATTCCTTAGCTATCCTTGGCTTCCCCGACTAAACATTCTTGTGATTTGAGGGTTCAACTCTCCGACGAGTCCAGGCAAGCTGAAACAGCCAACGTGGCAGATGGCCGCCGATGGCCTGGAGCTGAAATAGCGGCTTTAGTCTCCCCTTCCCGAAACGCTTGGGGCCAAACCAGCCAGAAGGATCTCACGTTGGTGACTTTGGCGACACTAAGCTATACGATATACAATGTGCATATATATATATAACATATTACAATATATATATAGATAGATGTATACAATGCAGCGGGCAGCGAACCAAGTAAAGTTTTAGATAACCATGTGTAAAAACAATATAAAGCATTTTGATCATGAGATGCAACTTTTTTTGACCTCAATCGCCGGTGAAGTGGTGAAGATCATTACATCAGGCCAGGGCCAGGGCATGCTTTTAAAAACAGTATACTGGTCAATAGTGTCTTGAACAGGCCAACGTTCGAGGCTCAACGCATTCGACGCCCATCCTTGTTCTAAGAGGGCATGTGTGGCCAAGAGTTCTGGTCCCTAATGCCTTTTTGAAGCACAATCTCGCACGGATCGCGCTACGTGGGGATGGCAAAATTGAACACCTTTTGGTGGGCGCCGGATTGCGAATTTGTTGCCTCTGAGATGTGCTAGTTCTGTCCTGTTTAACCAATTCCAGGCTCACTGGCTGTGGCTGAGCTCACAACGATGAACATTTCATCACGTTTGGGGTTCCCATAATAGGGCTTGAAACCCCTCTAGGGTGTTGTTTGTTCGGGCATTATTGATTGACCAGTAAGACGGGTTATGGGATCAACACCTTCTTTTTTCCCTGCTTCATACACAGTGGAAGATGGTCCAAACCAATACTGTTGCAGACATCCTCCTTTCAAGTGGCACCTGAGCGGTCCTCGCGGGATTTTCGTTGGAGCGGTGGCAAGGCCGCTGGTCATGTGGCGAGGCCGCTGGGTTCCTGGCCGCGGTGGGGAAGGAGAGGGTGTTGATGGACACGAGGAATAATAACGGCGCCTTAGGACCTCATCTCGCCTGAACCAGTTGGAATCTCCTCACTGGCAGACAGTGAAGTCACAAAATTCCTTGCTGTTGTTTGCAGGACGACGTTCTTCTTGACCTGAATGGCACTTCAGCCGCCAAGGACCGTGGATCTATGGGCTATGCAATCCGATTGCAATTGCTTCAGCGCTTGATTGATCGACGCCATACTGCAACCTACCTTTCCGAATCGAATCGACACCGTGCCTGAAGAGGGTGGATCAGATGCAAATGACGAGAGGCGCCGAGTTAAAATAGTTGTGGAGTACTTGGAGTAGCTGGCCCGAAGAGGTTGTTTTGCGGGTAAAGGTAGCTGAACTGTTCAGTCTAAATTGTGTCATGGATACTGTGGGAACAGGCTCGGAATGAGCCAAGGATAACTTAATGTCAAAAGCTCCGAACAGAGAGGTTGTACCAGACTGGTCAGCCTGGATGATCCCTTACAACTCTGCTAGATGCGTGCGGCCGCTTCCATGGCGTGTGGCCAACACACGGTGGCCCCGCAGGTGCGGCCCTTGCGGATCGCCCCGTGCTGAGCACCGCGTTGACAGCCCGTTTCGGAACGGACGTGCACCATGCCCGGTGGAACACAGGGTCAGACAGTAACAAGTGCCACGCTAGTAGTAACAGGTGCCTTACTAGTAGTAACAAGAAGCTATTAGAAACAAGAAGCTAGTAGTCAGCACCGCATCTTGGGGCCCAGCTTGAGGAGATTCGGACTGATCATTGCTGTTTTGGGCTTAGCAGGTGACTGTTTTCTCATGCCATGGGCCTCACGCATCTCCACTGGCGGTTGATCTTGGAGTTTTTGCCTGTTGAGGAGGCCTTTGGGGCGGCCAGGGTGTGTCGAAACCTCTGCTTTGCCCAGGAACAGCTTGATGCCAGGGCCTATGTGAAAGAAATTCGGCCCTCCACCTGGCTCGGCTGGATTTATTCCGAGCCAATGGGCCAGAGCTTTTGGCGCCAGCTGCTGCGTGAGTGGCACCTGTGCTTGAAAACTTCGGCTTTGCAAGTGGCCTTTGTTAATGGCCATGGGCATGTGATCGCTGTCGAGGAAAACACCGCTTTGGCATCGCCCCCACAGCGGGGAGATCCCTTTCCGATCGATTGGGACGATGAGTTGTATTTCTGCTCCATTGAGCCCTTCGATCTGGAGGCGATCTGGTGGCTCGTTGGCAGTTCTGCTCTCCAAGACCCAGTGCAGACACCAACTACGGGGGCATCGACTGAACCAAGATGAGTCTAAGTCCCGTGTGTGCTGCTTTAAGACCCACTTATCGGGTATTTCTTCTGGAGGGGTGTGCCAGTGTACCACGATGGTCCACCGTTTATTCTCAACCATCCATGTTCCAGCTTTAGGCCTACCACTAAGATCCACTAAGTATACTGGACCTCGTATATATATATATATATAGATGACCTAGCAAAGTGACAGCTTGTATGTACGCTGAGTTTGAATGAATCTCAATCTCCACAAGGACTTTCCACTTGGCCCATGACAAGTGGCCACGGGGCCTTGTCCATTTGAGGATCTCAACCAGCTTCTCAGGACTAGACGTCGTAGGCTTAAGGCTTGGGAGCCTTTTCAAACCATCCCAAGGCCCGAAAGCCTGTTCGTAGCAGGAGTTCACGTTGTGAATCTTCGTCTACAACGTATCTCAGCCCTGCTCTCGATGTTTTGGGCTCAAGGCGCTAAGGCCAGGTCCTCCAGAAGGCCAAACAGAGGACTGTGCCGGAGGGGCCCGGATGGGCTTTTGCACAGTCTTCGTCGCCTCCATTTTCATATTTGTACCTGCCTTACGACTCGATGGAGAGGCAGGGATTCTTAAGCTGGTCATCAACTCGAACCGGAAGTACCAGAAGCCCTTGAACACACTCTTTGAGTCGTTGAAGGCCGTGCAGTTTCGCAATTGGGCAGATGTGGTGGTCGTGATCGGCGGATCAGACGAGAACAAGATCTACTCTGTCAACAACATCACCTACATCGAGACTCCTTTGATGAACTTCGACCTCACTGGATTGGCTATGCTTTATCGCTATCGAACCCACCCTTTGGTCCATGCTAGTTCCTACATGTGTCTGGATTCGCAAACAACCGACTTTGCACAATGCTTCATCCCAAATGGCAGTAAACGTGGCATATTCTCCCTACTTGCGACTGGTTATGGATGGTTATTGTAGGAACCCACCAAATATTTGGGCCCAAGTATTCAGAACTAGATTATACATATTATACTATAGATTGTTTCACGAGGATGGTTTCGCTTTGTCAATATTGCTAGATTTTTCGGCAGCTTGACTCTGATTGACCTAACTGCGGTTGCCAACAGAAGCTCTAGGCGGGCATCCTAGAATAGACACATGGAGATCATAGAGTAGAAAAGTATTATTCAGCAGCATCGAACATTGGGAGCGTTTTGCATAATTAAAGGCAATTTATGGTACGTAATTTCATGTATGTAATTTCTCATATCTCGATTTCTTCCCATCAATCCAGGAAACACAACCAACAACACACTTCTTAGCTCTAGCTACTGCAGCCACTTGACATGATCCCATTTCTGCCTCCAGACTCCAGCCGATGTCCCAGGTACATCTTGGACACCAGCACCGTGGGCCCGACCTTTCCACAGCGCTTCGCACAGCTCGCGGAACACTTCGCACAAAGCGCGACGGAGACGTCGCGCGCGGAGCTGGCGGAGCTGCTGGTACCGCCAGCGCCGGCGTCCAACGTGTGTGTTTTCGGGCATGGCCTGGTGGAACGGTATCGCAGGACGGAGAGGTGCAGAAGATGTAAGTCGTATGTGGCATTCCATTGCACAACCGTGTTCTTGTTTTTAGTTTTGCACGGTTGTGCGCAGTATGTTCAGGTCAGGACCTGGTGTTATCCATTGAACACACCAGCACCTACGGACTGCCTTGTCCAGATACCCGGCCTTCTGATCCTTATACTTATACGGATATGTGGTATCCATTTGGATCTATCCTATTATATACCTGTAACAGTGGATGATGATGGTTAGTTAGGGCCTTGTCCAAAAATGGTTTATAATAATTGTTCACTGACAGTTACAGGCAAGAACGGACAGACCCAATGGATACCACCAGACAGTCCCTGAGACCTGTGCATGGGAATCCCACAAACTGTGCTGTTGTGGATTCTCTCCATCGCCGATGTCAATCATCATTCGTAGCTGACAGAACACCTAATATATAGCTCAACTTGTTGCAGCAACAGATCCATGACCAAACGGAGCCCATGATGGAGCCTCAGAGCTCCAGGAATTTCGAGATCGTCTTGTCCAAACGCGAGGGCTTGGACTTCGAGGCGGGTTATTCGGTGAAGGGACTGCGGCAGTTGAAGGACTTCGCCGACCAGATCACCGAGATGAAGGAATGAACTGAGGTGTGGTTACGGTTTGGGGGGCGTGGAATAGGTGACGGTGGTCCGGGTGGCCCAAACAAGTACAAGACCTCCGGGCGATTTCAAGGGGACATAAAACATAGATGATTGACTCGACATAGAGAGATTTGCAGCAGAATACCTTGAGGAGGTACGCGGATCCGATGTTTTGCTCGCGCAGAACTACCAATTGACACGGATCAGATTGGTTTTCTTGGGCCAGTCCGTTCCGCCCACGTTCACGCCGTTCGTTCGTTCACCACGCTGGCATCATCGCGTGCATCTCATCAGGTGGGCGAAGTGGACATTTATGGCACGGGTTATGGGCGATGGGCCTTTTGGTATCCTGACTTGGAGCCCTGACATAACCGCGACCGAAAACGGTGCATTCGGCCCGGCGGGCAGGAGAAAACACCCATGAACATGGCTTGTTGGTGTCACGAACACGGGAAAATGGTTTGCGCATGTGGCGCCTGCTCAAAGGTGGAAGTTTTCCAGGCCACCAATGACCATCAATGACGAGTTCCAACATTCCTCACAAACCTCACCCAGCCCCAAGTGCTGACTCCGCGAAGCCAATGTGTAAGGATCTCTTCAAATACATCCTTTGGGATCGAAGCGGCGACATCTCCGGAGAGGTCGAAGATTTGCAGCCTGCCTGGAAGCGACTTTGGAACTTCATCCAGCTGAGGGGCTGAGTTCCCTCTGAAATTCGAAGAAGTGAGTGACCTCAGGGAAACCGGTGGGTGCTGTGAACCAGCAACAACCCAAAGCAACCAAGCAAGTTGGCGAGTGAATCAGTCCAACCACCTACAAAGAGAGTTGGTGAGTCGGTCGAGAAGAAGGCTCCAAAAAGTTTCAGGCTGTCAATAGCTTCCAGAACTGGAGCTGCAATTAAGCCCTGTATGCTTGGAACCTTTGGCTCCCTGACACCAGACCAACGGCGCAAAAGACGCAACGGCTTGCGCAGTTGCACGTCAGGTGGGGCTTCTGTCAATGGAGGGTGTTTGTCAGGCACCTAGACCCCAAACTACTCAACCATCAATTGAATTGTATAACCAATTGTATAACCCCATCATACTTGTATAACCAATGTTAATCATAATTTCCTTCTGACCAGTCTCAGAAAGAACTTCCTGATTCCTTCCGAAATATCGACATCCCCTGCCTGGGACGATCGACGTTCGCCTGGGCCACTCCGACACTTCCCTGATCCAAACCCGAACGAAGCCCCCTGTGCAGCTGTCCCAGCTTCCACTGCTTGTATATGCCTGTATACTGATGTATATAGATGGCGAAATGGGCACAGGGGTTTGCCGCTTCTATCACATACAGGTGCGGGACTCTACGACCCTGTTAGCAGTCAGGTGAATACCACTTCAGTTCCTGCTCCAATGCTCAGGTGAATGCTCCTCATCTCAAAGCATACTGTAGCTCTGTAGCCAAATTATTCTAGCCATTTGTCGCCTAAAATCCCAGGTGGCACTTCCTAGAGCCGCAGCTCTTCGAATGGGACGAGCACGGTCTGGAGCCGGTGCCAGGTTACAAGGGCGACCTATCAGTCCCCAGGAGACTATTGGATGATGCCTGGATGAGAGTAGTATTGTAGTTGGTGCCCCTACTGGTACTGTTGTGAGTGCTGAAAGAGTCATCAAGAAGACGGGGCCTGATCACCATCCCTCGAACCACCCATTTCTGCCAATGAATAAGGCGTAGGTGCTGGTTGTGCAGCTGGTGGGGGGCACTGGCTGGCTGGTGCCTGACAGCGCGAGATTTTGGCTAACGAATCATCTTCAATCCTGTTAAATACGGCAATCCACAACAACTCAATTCTCAACATTCTGGGTTCTATGTTTAAATCGTTTTCCCCTGGAAACACACGTGGTTCCTTCACATATGCCTCTCACATGTTTGCCCTTCAGCACTGCGCTGAGGAAACCATCGCAGTGCTGGCGCTGAACGCCGCATGGTTTTGGTTGAGCTATTGGATCCGACAGCCCCTGGGACTTAGAAAAATCAGAAGACATCAGAAAACAAATCGGTTTCCTAGTAGCTTCTTGTTCCTAGTAGTAATGCCAGGAGCAAGGCAAAACGCCAGTGGATGATCTCGGGGGCCTCATA